TGAAGGATAGGATCAGGCTTGAGGAGCAAGGTGAAAGGAAGATTCTCTTGAACACAGCAATCTTGCTGTATAATTATCAGGCCAGCACTGTAGGCATCAATCAGATCCTTAATGTGTTCATGCCCAATGAGCAATACAAAAGAGGCTTCTTCTCCCACCATACTGTGACAATCGATGAGGATGCAAACAACTTGTTTTGGTGAGATCACGTTGTCGACGGACAGCAATTAACAACGATACAGGAGAACAACAATGTGATGGCAACATCGACACGATAAACATCAATAGCCGCAACAACAGTACATCGATACATCCCAGCAAGAACACTGACAAGCAACAACAATAGTACATCGATACATTCCAGCAAGATCGGACGCAACACAAATCATACATTCCAGCAAGATCGGACGCAACACCGACAACGCAAGAACACCGACAACGCATATGACAAGAACAACAATGCATACAAACAACGATACAACGATACAATTCCCATGGTCAACACCCAGCAACGTACCATTTTAAACCAATATACTAGCAGCACACAACAAGCAATCAAGTGTAAACTAATTCATACAATGAGCAACTCATGGTGGAGGAGCAAAGAGCAAGAAAGCTACGCGATACACCGTGTTAAGTTGTATTTTACACGATATTTCGTGTTATTTGAAATTTCATGGTCCGTTGAAGCGTTGAATCGCAAAGATTCCCTTATAAGCAGGCGGGAATAGAATCAATAAGAAATATACATTTTGAATATAATCAATAAAAGCAATGCATGTTGGATATCCCATAAGGAGGCGGGAATAGAATCAATAAGAAATATTCATGATCATATATAATCCAATTATCGCAAGATTTGGTGGGACATAAAAGCAATGCACTTTGGAGCGTTGAGTTGCACGTTGGAGCGTTGAGTTCTTAGGCGTCCGTTGACTTTGAAAATTTACGGAAGACTGTGTAGAAACAGTACTGAACAACACGAGCTAACGCGTAGGAGTTATTCTAATCCTCCACTAACGCTGCTAACGCTGTAAAGGMTTTGCTCCATAATGCAGCAGTCAGTATTAGTATGAACMAAATGGAAGATGTGAATTAAAGTAGTGATTAGTAAGATAAAGATAATGTAGTTAAATGTAAACGCGACAATGGGATTCCTCGGAATCATCGACAATGGGATTCCTCRGAATTCATGCACTAATCGGAATCCGAATCCTCGGAATCCGCGGAATGCTGGGAATCGTTGCTTCGACGACGCTTCCTGCCAGCTTTTGGACTGAAGTGCTGCATGGCAATGGTGACAAGGGATCCAAGAGCACTTCCAATTGCCTGGTARGCTTCCTGCCTTTCTTCCCTGGCTCTCAAAGAAGCTCTCTCGCGCTGTTCAACACAGGCCTCCAATGCCTTAATGATGCCTTGCTGCTTTGAATTGGCAGAGCTGTAAGAACGGACACGAGGGGCTCTTCCGGGTGTAACAGCTCTTGCTGTTGCAACAATTGGTGGAACTGCCTCTTCCTGCTGAGTAAGTTGAGAATCGACTCCTGTTTCTTGCGAGGGTTCTTGTTGGAGTACTACCTGAGGGGGCCGTGGTACGTTGTCTTCGTTGCTCACGTTGGTGCCGTTGCTCACGTTGGTGCCGTTGCTCACGTTGGTGCCGTTGCTCACATTGGTGCCGTTGCTCACGTTGGTGCCATTGTTTGTGTCACGACTAACATTGCCACTGTTGTTGCTGCTATTGCTGATTCCAGCAGAAGGAGGAGCTCGATGATTACCCTCAGGATCACCATTCCTTCCATCGGGATGCACATATCCTTCTTCAATATCAAAGTGCTCCTCTCCATCTCCAATATCAGCCTTCTCTCCAATCAAGCGCTTGGCCCTCTTGGCAAGTCTCACTGCTAAAGGACAGTTAGGGTCTCCAGTAGGGATGTTCTTCCTATGAAGGGATGCAAACTTCCTGCGAATGGAATGGACGTCCCTGTTGGCATAGGGATAGTTCTGGGCATGAGTGGCTTCTACTTCATTCCACTGGTCACTCCCAATAGGAAGCCTTGCCAAGATGGCGTACATCAAGTCAATTGTTTCCTGAGTGGAATAGTTGGTTGTTCCGGACCTACGACCTCCTCCTGGTGCTGCTRGAGGAGCTTGCTGTTGCTGCTGCTGTGCGTTTCTTGTTAGAACCATCTTGGATCGATGTTGTGGAATCAACGTTGCTCTTTTTTGTGTCTGGAATCGATGCTGGAATTCACACGTGAAAACTACACGCGTTTCACTACATTCCAACCAGTTCCTCCCCCGGGGAAGGGGGGGGTTCTCAGGGTTCTCAACTTTTAATTCCTGTTGACATGATTCCAAAAGGGGTTCTTCCATGGTATCGATGCCCTTTTAGTGAGGATACTAGCTAGTAGATAAGAATTTGGAGGACCAGCACTTCAGATTTTGTATAGTGAGCCTTTGGATTTGTTTTGGCGGGCTCCCCCGGCTCTTTCTGACACTTTAGATTTGTTTTGGCGCGCTCGCTGGCACCATGTGTTCTCAATATTTGGCGAGAATTCAGTTATTTTTCTGTTAATTTGAAGCAAAATTCCATATTCCTAAATTAAGCACATGTAGCGCGCCATAATTCATTTTCTATGATTCTATGCCTTTACATACTTATTCCCGTTGAGTCATAGACGTAAAGTATGTCAGCATAGATTCTATGTTTACGGGAATGACCCAATACAGTAGTTTTTGATTTCAGGATTTGTTCATCGTTGACGAGATCTTTTTTGTTGAGAAAGATATTGTTTATCCACCGATATCTGCATTGTGAGACGTGACAAGTGATCAAGAGCAGTACGAAATTGAAGATTCCGCACTCTTGTGCACGATTTGAGCTTGAAAACTTAATTCGACGCAATAAAATGCCAATTTCCAACTGTTTCGGTTCAAAGGTAGCGGTGACTTCAGTACTCTTGGTGCTTGGAATCATTTTTGACACCAGCCAGTCGCTGCTTCACGAATACTGGCATCATTCCAAGCCATTACATTCCTCCTACCAAAGACTTGATTGGGGCGATTCCAAACATTTCACCTTTCTGTCCAACAGACTAGAAACTTCGCTTGGCATTGCTTCCGATGGCTACGATTCCGTCGAGGCAGGATCTAGAGTAGAAGGCGACCCTCATGTAGAAACAGTTTTATTTGTTGAATGCGGATTTGGAAATGACAGCCACGGTAAGTTTTATAAAATTGATGGCAGCAGTCGCTGACGCGAAACAACCTCTCTCGGTGATTGATTCTGTTTTTCTCTATTTTCATTTGTATTTTAGGCCAGTCAGCAACAAAAGCGGCCGTGAGGGCGTGCAGAAACTCCATAGAATTTAATTCCATTCCATCTGTGAGTCGACTGATTCCAAATGGGTACCAAGGCTTGAAATTGGATGTGTTACTCGCAGTTCCTCCCAAATACAAGGATTCTTTGGATCTTTCTGAGGTTCAAAAGGTATTCCCGTATGGGTCTGTCCGATTTCAGATTCAAGACGGAGGAATGGTGGCCCCTAGTGGCATTGCGATAGAGAAGCTTGGAGATCAAAACGAAGATATGGTTGTGGTGTGCGCAGCAGTCACTGTAGGTTACTAAGAACGAAGGAAAGTAGAATCTATTGGAAAATTCAGAACTATAATTCTAATGAATATATTGCTTTATTATGCGAGTTGCTTCTAAGCTATCGAATGTACCATACATGGAAATCTATTTTTCTTAGGCGTGTGCAACAACGACAAGATCGTCGATTTTCATAATCATGGAGACACATTCGGTCGCTAATTGGATGGCAGACGCAGAAACCAGGAGCGGTTGAACAACATTCATTTCGTACATATCGATTACCTTTCCTTTCTTCACATTGATACCGGCTCCTTTGATTCCTTCCGCGTGTTGTTTGCGGAGCTCAGTCACCACCTCGATTGGTTTCATACCCGCATTCTCTGCGAGAGTATAGGGAATGAGTTCCAATGCATCTGCGAAGGCTTGGAAGCAGTACGCATCCATGCCAGATAATTCTTGTGAATACTTGTGCAATCTCAACGATGCTTCTGTTTCGGCAGCCCCACCTCCGGCAATCATGTAGCGCTTCTTCACAAATGATCGCACAACGCACTGTGCATCGTGCAAACTTCGCTCGGCTTCACCCAGGACAAATTGGTTAGAACCCCGCAACAAAACCGTCATGGTTTTACCCGGATTTTTAACACCCGTGAATTTCACCACTTTCGTAGACCCTCCCTCCATCAGTACGTCGGAAACATTCTCCGCGAATCCAAGCTTATCTGCCTTCATTTGGTCTGGATGGGCGACGGGCTGACACCCAAGAGTTCGGCATACGAATTCAATGTCGTCTCGGGCAATATCTGTTACGACTAGAATGCCCATCTTGGCCAAGAAATGCAATGACAATTCATTGTACGCATCTCTCAAGATCGACTTTTGGATCAGAAGAACGTTCGCCCCCGACTTTTTGATTGCTTTACATTGTCCCAAAATGAATTTCCGCTCCTCACGAAGGATTCGATCCATAGCTGCGTAATCGCTTACCACTACATTGTTGTCCATATCTGTTTTCGGTGCTGACAAACAATATTGAATCAGAGCAATCTTGGCGTTTTGAATTTCGGTTGGGCCGCCTGCTGTTTTGTTTGCCCTTTTATTCAGTACCAGACCCTTGACGAGTTCGGTGTCGTCAACTGTTCCACCCAGCTGTGTGACGAGACGGATATCTTTTAGGTCAACATTTGTCGACGTTTCAACATCCTCTACAACACCGAGAACGGAGTCCACAGCCATKGGAGCCAAAAGGTCGGAATTCTGAGCCACAACTTTACTGCTCAAGCATGTTTCAACCGCACTCAAGAGAGAATCTCTGTCACTTAAATCAACAGGTTTGGAGATTTCCTCTAGGAATTCAACCGCCTTGTCTGCCGCCCGAAGAAAGGAACTCGCAATTGCCATTGGGTGGATCCCCTTCGACAACAACGAGGAACAGGCATTCAACAAAGCACCTGCTAACACAACAACGGTCGTCGTTCCGTCTCCTGCTTCAATGTCCTGAGACTGTGACAAATCTACCAACATTTTCGCAGCAGGATGGATCACTTTCATGTTTTTCAAAATGGTGGCGCCATCGTTACTGATCAGAATCTCGCCGTTTTCCAGTTGCATCAATTTGTCCATACCCCGTGGACCAAGTGAAGTTCGCACCGCATTTGCAACAGCCTAAGTAGAGAAAGTTCGAAAAAATGAATTAGAAAAATGTGCCCGGCTGCCGATCCTGCAGCGGCAACACAGAGTCTCCTCGTACCTTTGCGGCGACAATATTCGATGTACGAACATCCTTTCCTTTTGAACGCTCTTGGAATGTCTCTGCTCCTGCCATGGTTCTTAAGTTCTTGTCTTTATTCTAGATGCAACAGATCGGTGTGTCAGGGTTGTCGGGAAGATGCTACTCGTCGTCCTTTAAAATAAAGGTCCTCAAGAAAGAGTGCAATTCAAAAGTTAAATTAGAGGCACAGCATTTTTCATCGATTATCGAAGGTGCGCTCCTGTCATTTTTGGAGTGTGGGAAACTGTAGTAGCGTTTTGCAGTCGAGTCCCGTGACTCATAACCTAAAAATGTATGTAAAATCTAAAATAAAGGTGACCCGTACGGGTACGTACTTACGGTGGTCCTGTGCAGCGTAGCCAACTCTCATTCTGCCATGATGAAGAGTAGGAGTACGTAGTATGAGCCAGGGGTCGACCTGGTATGACCACCGTTACGTACGGTACGATACTTGCACGAGTACCGCCATTTTGCAACCCATTTCTCCTTTTTTTGTACAGGATCCTGGAAGGGAATTCTACACAAATATCCTACAGGAGGGCAATTGGCTGCTAACGCAAATAGTTTCTACAGTGTAAAAACCAAGTAAGTGCCAGTAAGGTGCCAGTACTAGTAAGATGGGAGTTATGCTCTGAAAGAAAGAATGTTGTAGAAGGAGCTACTAGTAGTAGTAGTACTACGTCACATTCAATGAATGCACTGTGGCTATTTCTTATTTCTGAAATTTCCAAAATTGGAATACTAGAACAAATCATTGATTTGTTGTGTATCCTGGGTAGTATTGAATTTGTTGGTGTTGTTTTTAATAAGCAGAAGATGTGTTCTTCTTACAAACAGCAGTGGGTAAACCACCATTGGTGAAAGTTCTTTCATTGGCAATATTGAAAGGACTAAGAACTCCATCTATTCAACTTTCACGGCATCTACACATAAAACATAAAATCCATCAATGTTGATAGTTTCACAATATTGGTACCATTTTTCAGTTTGACAGCAGATTTAAATGTAGTACACATGGATCCATTCGTTTTGACTTTTTAACATCCTCTATGCTATCCTCATTGATCATGACAGGTCTACCAACACACAATTTAAGCATTGGATGTATCCTTTTGGGAGATTTGTTTGCTTGGACCTACAACAATGCTGGCATCTGATGTGGCAGCTAGCAAGCAGTACTTCTGGAATTCTGACATTTCTCCGTATTTTCTTTTTTGTCTATCTGGAGTTTAAGGTTTGAGGCCTTGATTACAATGATATGATCTGGCAATCTCTCATTTGTGTTTTTTTATGATGTGTTGTTTTGAGAAACTCAGAATATATGCTATCATTTATTGCACATTTGTCTGCAATGCTGTATGTTGCATATGCAACGTCTTGTGGGAGTTTGTCCCAAGGATTTATAATTCTTTAATTGAAGATTTGAACATACTCTTCTTTCAAGCCAAGAAGCTCTCCCCAGATTGGATCATCTTTAATCCTGTGATTTGTTTTTAGTTCAAGAAATATGTTGGTTTCTCTAATTTTTTTACAATGGGGAGTCTCCTCCAACTGGTTTGAGTTGATTGAAGTCACCTGCAGAGACAATATGCTAGATTGCCATACAAATGATATGATAACTTGTCACGCAATAAGTTCAGAAACTTGTTCAATGTTTCAATTTGTTTGATGCTAGCAAATGGTGGTAGCTTGTCAACAATGAGTAGGCAAGTCTCATTTTCCCATGATTTTTTTCCCTGTGTGGTAACATTGGATCTGTCACAATTAAGACAGCAAGTTTATGTGTTGTTTCCCTGTTGATAGTAACTGCTGCTGGTGCTGTTCCAGTCATGCCAGTGACAGCCAGAACTCTGTTGGAAAAGTCCACTCCCAATTCTTTGCAAAGCATCTTACAATACTAAGAATATCAAACAGAATGAATTCCTTTTGATCTCCCAGTACCACCAACCCTGATGGAAAACATATGAACTGCTCTATGTTGTTCATCATGGTTGCCTTGCAATCTTCTATGCATTTGCTTGTTGTGGCAGATGCCAATTAATCTTCCTGCAGAATCTTTTTTTCTTGATTGTTCAGGTAAATGTAAAGTTTTTTCATGAAGTGTCAAAACAAAAGCAGCAACTTTTAGAATTTCCCTGAATTTTGGTAAATATTTTGAATCTATCTGGAGTTCTTTATTTGCATTTCTAAATGAAAAAATAGAATCATTGCTGTTTTAGCATATTTTTCCATTGCCAACAACAAGCAGTGATCAGTATCTTTTAGATGATCAATGTTGCCATCAATGGGGATGCCTCCAAAGCTTTCACTATATAGAAACTTTAAAAAAAATACCTAAGTTTATTGTTGTGTTTTTGTTGCCCTTCCAGTCATACTAATCAGAACATTTATTTCAAGTAGTACATTTGATTCATTGCAACCTTTGTTTTGAAGTTTCATTCTGCACTCTTTCCTTTAGTTTTGAAAATATGGTTTGACATGGTTTAGGATCCTGCAATGGATACGTACGTACTGGAAAGGATATGTACGTACTGTATCTGAAGTATACGTACGATACTAAGCTTCGAAGAAAGGAATGAAGGAGCATACCATTCCTACATACCTATCGTAAGGTACTGTTCATATCTATGTATCATAGGATCCATCATAAGAGGTCCGAGGATCGTAAGAGGTCCAAGATATAGAGAGTTAGAATATCTTACGAAGAACATAGACGTCACGAGTCCKGAATGGAAGAACCTCCATGTAGATTCCCTACCAGGTCTACATGAGGTTCTGATCAGAACTTCAGAATTCTCGTGAACGCGCTTGATAATCTTAATCTTATAATTTCAATTTTCATACACACTTAACACCTATTTTGCTAGTCTTGGACTTCTGTTTTGATGGTTGTATGGCTTGCATCGACAGAATTTATCAAGTCTTGGGAATGGAATGGGATTCTCTTTCATCATGGAAAAATAATCAGTTTGATTTTGGAATTACCAATCATGACAATGACTCCTCCTCAGTTTTCCCAATTGCTGGTGGCTAATTGTTGCTGTAGAGGCTATCAATGTTGATGCTGGTCTTATTGGCACTGCTATGCTCATCTTTGATGCTCTACGCCAACGTTATGGAGAGGAACTGACAGTACATTTTGTAGAACTCAAGAAACTTGTCCAACAAAGTGTCAGTTGGTGCATCATGCCCGTCATTGTCATCACTATAGCCAAAGCTGTCCATATTTATTGTTGTTGGGTTCTTTTTAATGTCTGAATGACTGATCACAATAACGTTTGAGTCTTAGGAGGATTTAGGTTATTCTCTTGTTATATCTTGGAACAACCAGTCATGATTTTGACCTACAAGTATTTATTTGAGTCTTGGGAGCAATTTGGTTCTCTTAAATCTTAGAATGACAAATCACAAATATGACTGATTTCTTTTAGTTGTGGGAGCAATTTGGTTCTCTTAAATACTGGAATGACTGGTTGTCACAATAATGACTTTTTGTGCGTGCAACACTCTTTGAACTGATGGATACTAATGTAACTGGTTGTGAGGACCCTGGAGTTCCCATTTAAAATTACAATAGATTTGGAGCTGAGTCATCTAACACTGCATCATATCTACACATTTTTTGCAAAGTGTATGGACAAGAGGATCCAAATGTGACAATTATCCTACTGAGGGAAGTAGTTCTTCCCTTGTGTATTACAAGAAGGCGCTGTCCTATTTTATGCTGAACAAGCTACACAAATGGACTGTGATTTAAGGTATTGGAAGTGGCAATCTTGTTAGGATCAATGGACCGCCATAAGGCGTTAAGTACTTCCTCCTTTCCCAAATACAAGTCCTGATGACCCTTTCTTGCTGTTCTTCAAAGAGTGTCCTTGCTGTGTGGGATTATGTACAATTTGTAGTAGCAGAAAACTTATTTTCACCATTGATACCAGTACTTGTTCTACTAATAAATCAGGATTACAACACCATCAACTACTACTCCTACTCCTTCTATTTCTTTGTTCAGCTGTTGTGGCAGAAGCAATAACTAGCAGATGCTGCCCTGCCACAATGTGACTTGGATTGCATATGATTGTAATTGAGAGTGTACCATCACACATGAGGCTTTCTTTACCCAAATAAGGCAGCTTGTCACCTCCAACACTAAGTGAGGCTTCCATGCAAGAAGCCTGAAATGAAAAAAACACATTGCTCAAAGTCTCCTTGTGCTTGCACTCATCAAAAGGTTCCTTGATATTCTCAATCAAATGACCAGCAATACTCTTTGACTGCTTCTTATACTGGTACAAACTTTGAATTAAATTATAGGAACCAAGGTTCAGAACATTCAACTCAGGAATTTTTGGTGGTCGTATTGTAACAGAAAATTCCAGCCTCTGCTAGCAGTGGCTATTACAACATCATTTCTGATGGAGGCCTTGTGCAGTTTTGCATTGTCCTCTTAAATGACACTCTTTGTTGAAGGACCACCATCAGCTCCTCTTAGTCATTTTTGTAATTGACAGACAGTACTTTTTGTATCATTATCTGCTTGTACACATCACTGTTAACATCCTGTGGCTTTGTTATCAAGGTTCCTGCACAACAAATTACAGAGTTTCATCTTGCTGGTTCTTTTGCAACAAACGGCCAAATTCCAATCTTTCCATCAAACCAAGTATGTCAAATCAAACCTTGGTTGAGCTGTGACACATAGGACCATCACCTTTGTCACATTGTTCTTTGAATTGGATGTTGACATAGGTTCAGGCTCATCTGGGAGCAGGTAGTACTAGGTGTTTTGTTTGGTGTATTTCAAGTAGTAGAACCACTTTTTATCAACACAAATCCATCATAATGAGTTGTCAAATCTTCCATTCTCATCAACATGATGCATTATCCATTCAACTCTCTTGAGTTTATTTCAAGGTGGTAGTAGAGGTTTTTTAGTTTCATTGTGCTTCTTAATGTTGCCACACTTGACAAGTTTATGTAGAGAGGTCATTGGAATCCCAGATACAGCTGAAAGCGTTCTGAGATCACATATGTTTTTGTCTAGGATATTTCTAATAGCATCCAGATCTAATAGTGGTCTTGCCTTCCTCCCACAATTCTTTTTTCTATGGACCACATCAACAGTGAGGCAATCAACTGGCTGGATGAAAACTCCTTGTAGTGCTTCCATATCCTTGCAATATTTTGGGTTGTTAGTTTGAACATTGCTGCTAGTTCTTTCAGAGCTCTGTTAGGAAGAGATTTCTAGGAGGAGTTAGATGTTCTGGAAGGATCTGAAGATCTGCTTGCCACTGGTTGTTGGTCAAGTTCTTGCTCTTCCTGGTTGGGGATCCAGCAGTATCCTCATCACTTGTTGCTGTATCAGGTACAGTACTAGTATAGCTTGCCTGTTCTCCTCCTAGTAGGAGACCCTTTGGGTGGGCTATCATTTTGCTATTGATATGCTTTAGAGAGAAAGGATGAAGCTGAAAAAGTGAGCTACACATAGTACTGAGGAAAGACCCATTGCATGTTGGTTGATTGTTGACAGTGGAAGGAATTCAAGACAGGCTGGTGGATGCTGTATCAGTGGAAGCAATGGAGACCTGCAAGTGGAGTGGAGTCCATGGAGCTTCCCCACCTCTTAACACAAGGAGCTCCCCCCTAGTTGAGGCAATGGAGATGTAAGGTGAGTCCATGTACCCCCCCCCNCCCCCCTCCTCCTCCTCCTCCTCATAATGAACACAACAGAGACACAAGATGCACTTCCTCCCCCACATCATCTCCCTGTGTGCCTCTAACTAGTTGAGGTAATGGAGATACAACATGTGCCCCCCCTAGGAAATAGAGGTACAAGGCAAGTTGATGGAGACCTTGTTATAGTGGAGGCAACAGAGACATGATCCCCTATCAACAGGCAACCAGCCCATGGATCTCCTATCAGCAGGCCCCAGCAAGAAGTTTCCACCATATATCAGTATAGATGACATATGGCCACAATTGAGTCACTTGAGGTGCAAAGAAGAAGGCTTTAACAAGAATAATTTGTCTTAATCAGTTCAACTTAAAGTGAGAATAGAAAGCAATAAAAGCAAACTGGGAGGTACAATGAAATCAAGAGCGAGATTAACGCATGAAAATAACACAAGGGACAGTGCTACACATTACACTTTTTCCTCTTTGCACTACTCTCTCAGCAGCAGAAAATTATTCTTCCCTCATGAAAACTACACACACCCAGAGCAATTATTGGCTCCTCCAAGTGAACCACAATGACTGAATATTCAATAAGTACAAGAAGAATATCATGATAAAGTTCTCAGTCTTGGCTTTCTATAGCTGTGAGGTGTGTCGTTAAATAACTAGTATATTCCAACTGATCACATGTATATCTCACAATATGCCCCTTTTAAATAGATAATGCATGTACATCAGACACTGCCACTTGAAGCAATCAAAACAACTGTATTCACTTTGAATAGATCTGATAAGGACAAAAAGAAGAAGCATTCCAATTGCCCAAATATTGAGCTTATTTTGACAGAAAAGGTTTAAAAGGACTCTAATTTGGGAACTGAGAACGTTAGTATTATTGGGTTGACTATGCTTTACTTTCCAAAAATGATAGGAATATTCTTTCTTCTTGTTGTTCTTAATATTTGTATTGAGAATTTGGATTGATAAAACATCTAATAAGGAGAATAATCCCACAATTACTACGCATAAAATAACAGTTGGACTTTCTTTAAATAAGGGGTTGGGAATGTTAAATTGACATACAGTATGTTAACCTTGTAGGCCTTGTAGAAATGAACAGTGCTGTTTTTGCTTGAAATTAACATTCTGAATGCTCTGCTCAACAGTCTGAATGTTAGCATGCAAGTATGTCCTTCTTCTTCATTTTTAGATCTCTTCTTCCTTTTTTTAAGGTAGATGCAAGACCCAAATAATTGTTTTAGAAAGGTTGCGGGCTACCACATTGAAGAATGGGGACACTAGGACCCACATAGGGCTATGGAACTTTACTAAGAAGATTCCAAACATTAAATTAACATTCCATACTTCAATTTTAACTTTCCCAACCCCTTATTTCAAGAAAGTTCAATTGTTATTTTATGTGAAGTAAGCATAAAAAATTCAGTGATGACAAAGTAAGATTATTTATTGTTAAAGCTCTTTTTTCCTCTCATGCTACCCTAGTTGACAACAGCTATGCTAAACTCACAAAAACAAACTATACCATGCTAGATGACTGTAGGCTGCAATGCCACTATTGTAATGGCTCACTGCTACAACTTGTAGTAATAATTGAGTTGGTATCACTCTTGACAGAAAGCATCCGGATGGAAAGATAAGTATTTTGAACAAGATGATGTCGTACTAAGAAGGCTTCGTGATAACAATTGATCTACCTTTTTACCCTAGATGATTTTGTTCACTACCAAACTATTTGGTGGGAAGATTTAGTACTCGAAGGAAGACATGGTAGTTTTCCAACAAATTATGCAGTGCTGTAAGATAGAAGACTTTAATGGAAAGTACTGAAAATAGCAATAATAGTGTCTCTTTTATTACTTTACTGCGTAAGCTGAAACTGATACACGTAGTTGTACCTGCCCCTGACGATACCACAGGTCTGTCGTCATGTCAAAAATTCCATTTTTGATAGCTGCGCAAACCTTAGTGAAGCCATCGACTGCACTCGTTTCATTCGTAAAGCAAAAATATTCTACTTCTGCTGCGTTAACTCCTCTCCTTCTACGAATGAGTAATCCCGATACTATTCTATTTCATCGGGTGGTGAATTTTCAATCAGTCTTTTCAGTGGCCCGGCTACTTTTTTTATTTTGTTCCCAGTCACAACGAGTCCCAACCTCGCCAACTGTCGGAAACTTGTCTCGTATCGCTGAATCTGTTCACTCTTTTCCTTGATGATTAGGTCTTTATCTACGATAACTTTCCTGAGAGCAGTAACGCTACCTTCAAGTTCTGTTACCATGAGGTCCCGTGATTTGATTTCTTCTGCATGTCTTGCTTCCATTTTTGCTTGCCCCTCTACTAGCCGTTTCTTTTCCGTAACAAGATCACCTTCCAGCCTTGAAACTTGTGCCTGAACCGTATCAAGCTTTCTTCCATATTTTTTCCTCAAGCGATCTTGCTCTTGACGAGCTTGTCGTTTTGACGACTGCCAAAGGTCTGTCATTTCTCGACGTATTTCATCGTAGCGCACCTTCATCTGCTTCTTTTTCAACCTTCCAACACGAATCTCGTCTGCAAGTTTTTGTTCGAGCATCTTCTTCTCCTTTGAAAAATTTACTCGCTCGTCCGCGAGTTGCTTCTCGACACTCGTTAAATTCTTGGTAATGCCTTCGATCGCTTGATTCAGTGTAGATCTTTCGGACTCATATCTGACTTTTTCTTCATCCATTTGATTTTTGAGGTTTGCTATCAGCTTCTCCTCTGTTTCGATCTGGCTTTGTAACGTACTTTTGGATTTTGCAAATTCTTGATTTTCTTTCTCTAGTCCACTCTTGATTTCTTCCATTTTGACACGTTCGTTCTTCAACTCTTCCTTCAGACCAGCAATCTGGGTAGAAAGAGCAGCATTTTCCGTGTCAAGCTTCATTTGACTGTCTTTCAAAATTTTCTCTTTTTCCTGTAAGGATGCTTCCAATCTCTGTTTTACCGTTTTCAATTGCTCTTGCGTTGCTTTCCAATTTGCTTTAGTATCGCTTAATTTCGTTTCTTCGTCCTTGATCTTTTTCAGCAGTTCCTTCTGAGCAGTCTCGAAAGACTTTCCATTTTCTTCATATTTCTCTTCAAGAGCTTTGACCTGCAACCGTTCTTGGGTGACTAAATCTTGCAATACTTTGCGTTCTTTTTCAAAATTCATCTGTTCATATTCCAAAGCATCTGCGGCATCCTCAAAGCGATTTCGGAGCTCGTTTGACGACTGTTTTTCAAATTCCAAAGAGTCGGTCTTTTCCTGCAGCTTTTGTTCCAGTGCTTTAATAGTATCCTCTAGTTCTTTTTGCTTTTCCAGATCTACTACTGGCTCCTCTCTTTTCTCAATCGCCTCTGATAGCTCTTCATCTCTCCGCGCCAAAATTGATGTGAATTCGGCAATCGTATTCATCAGTGATCTTTTTTCATCGCGAAAAATATTTTGCTCCTCAAGTAGTTCCATTTGTTTCAGGTCCAGTTGTTCACGAATCATCTCGACTTCCTTCTCGTACAGCATAACGCGTCGTTCCGAGTCTATCAAATCGAGCTCGAGTTGTTCGTCTACTCTTGGAGGGTAGTCAGGTACCGTAGGGTAATCGGGCGGAGGATATTCGGGTGGGTGCGGAGAATCCGATTCAAATAATTGTGTCTTTTCATTGCGAGAACCTGCAAACCTATTTTTCGAAAAGGAAGATGGACGGGATAGGTTGGGGGTGAAAGCCGATATAGCTCCAACATGAATGGAAACCCACCATAAGTTAAACTGCAACTTCATCCTCTCCTTTCGTTATCAAATATCGCGCAACTTAACAATAGCACTGTCTCTATAATCCTTTTTCGGTATTGTCGACGACTTGGCAGTTTACGAACAGAGGAGCGACACTGGAAACCTTGTTAGGAACCTACCAAGATTAGTACGGTAAGTACTGTACATGGTAGGAGACGGAGTGAAAAAAGCATTCTGCCATCTAATTTGGGCCCTCGAAATCCACATCTTTTTGTCGGAATGCCGAACACCAGAAACAAACAGAAATAGAGAATGAATAATGATATCCACGCGTGCTTAAAGTAGTTACGAGTTCTACATGTACAATTGTACTGTAGAATTTCAATTCAACCTGTCTTCAACACTCTACATATCGGTACAATGGACTATGTACCGTAGTACGTAGATGTGTACTTGTACTACGTACGTAGAGTACGAGTGATACTTTACTCCGAAGTGAAGCTGAAAAACAAGGTACGTTCATACGAAGTAAGAATACTGTATCATACGAAAAGTATGAACTGAACGGCACTCGTAGCGGAGGATACGGTGGTACGGTACATATGTAGTACGTCATAGCAACTTGTTCTTACTACTACTAGTAGTAGTACTACTAGTACTACTAATACTGTAGTGATTACTTCACCTATTCGCCGAGTAGCAAAATCAAGCAAACTCGACATGTACAAAAATAATCAACCAGTCTCTTCAGCACCAGTCCTCCTTCAACCTCGGTCTCAAGCTAGTAAAGCTCCCATCTGAATCATCACCCTGACGAGGAGGAGTTTCACCATCAAAGTCATTAATCAAACTTTGGTCTTTGTCTCAAGCTAAAGCTCTCATCCTCTTCCTCAGTTTGACAGTTTTGCGTAATCCTGATGCATTCTTAATTTGTATTCTGGAAAAATTCCCAAAGGAGAATTTGCATTGGTATTACTACTAGTAGTAAGAGCAACAAGTCATCCATGTTCCCTTCGGAGCGACTACTACTAGTAGAAGCATTCTTCTCTTCAGAAGTTATGGTTCTGATTTTGATAGATCCTCTTCTAATTCACGAGCTATAACAAAACATTAAACTTCTAAAAAATCATCCATTTACTGTTGAGATGACTTGACTCGTTTTGTTTCAGGACCGTCGTCGTGTTCCGGGGCATTCTTTCGTTTCTTCTTTTTCTTCTCTTTCACTCCCCAGATCCTACATTTTTTCAGTTTCTTGTGTATAGCTTTTAGTTTCTGCATATCTACTTTGTAGTTTGCACAACCATGTTGTCCTTCTTTCAATTCCTGTAGCTTTGTTCCAATTTCCTGCAATAATGAACTCATCCGAGGAATGTCTGCGCCTTGTTCGAATCGATGCGAAAGATAACCCATCAGATCAATCTGTGGGACATTATCTTTCCCTTTCTGGTTTTCATTTGCTACTATCAATGCTGCCAAGCCAATCTGCCCAGGTGTATATAACAGCGGTATGTCACTTACAATCACATCGTTGACAATAGATTGAGCGTCGTCATGCATCGGTTTGAGATCTTGCCCTATGATCGGTCTGTCCGTTCCATCTAAAAATGTGACGAGAGAGCGTCCCTTTTCTGACTTTAAGTACGTCCTCAAATCCTCTGTTATGGCCAGTACCGCCTTGTAGGGATGAAAGCAAAGCAGCTCGAAGTTTACTCCTGAAAGCAATTTTATCTCGGCAGCAAGTATCTCGGACACTGTAACAGGAGAATTCATCAGATTTGTGCCTTCTTCGAGGTAACCTGATAGTCCGCATCGCAATATTGACCAAAAGGGCGAAGAAAAATGTTTTGTGAGTCAAGAGTGGTGATTGCAGCTCTTAGTCAAATCACAACTCAAATCAATTTCTTCACTATTCTCTTACGGACGTCGGTCATCGCATCCTCGACCTTGCTGGCGAGAAATGCAGCGCTAACCATGATCGTTTTAGGATCATGCATCATAACGGAATTTGAAAGATAGAATCTCCGTAACAATGTAGCAGCTGTTGCGGGAACTTTGGATTCGCGTCTCAACCTAGGAAGCTGTGCCATGGGCCCAATCAGACTGGGCAATTTCGATGCATAAAAGCTAACAAGCAAGTTCTCCTCTTCTGGATTTAGAAACTCTTTTGAATCTTCAGTATGAGTTGGGCCCTCCTCTTCGCCGCTGTAATTTATTTTCGTCTTCGAAAACTCTCGTGCAAAACATTCGATCGGGAAATTATTTTCTTTCGTTTTGCTCGACAGATGTTTTCGTGTTATTCGATTGCCTCGAGCCCGACACAAATCTAAATCTTCCGGAGAAAACAGCCATGCCTTTAATTGGCTGGAATCTGCAGGATCGCACATGGTATTGTTCGAATACTCGTTCTACTATCTTCTTGATTTCCTCAACACTGGCCGACTTCCCGTTTTACTATGGAGAAGAAAGAGATACAGAAGTTGATTGAGAACGAAACCAGCTCCCTCCGCCGGAAACGAAGGTTGGTGTGGTGATTGAGGGGCTCTTGAGAATTTTTTAGATAAGTACTTTTACGTTTTTTTCAAACAGAGAATACTGATTTCTAATTTCAGTCCCGAGTTAGCGCGAAACAATCATACCGCAGAATGGAAATTTTGCGTCATTTTTTTTTAACAATATCTGGTGGGCGATTCAACTGACGAGTCGAGTGCGTGCGGCGTGCCGTGCAGCACAACAAACACTATCGTGTTCGAGTCGTAAGATACGGTACGTACGGTACGTACGGTACGAAGTGATCGGGGACGACGGATACAGTGTACGGTAGTGAAGAAGCATTCAAAACTGTAGGTTCTCGTGCAAAGTTTTACGTACCGATCAGTATGGACACGTACATGGTACGAGTGCGAGTACGATCATTTTTTGCGTTGCAGTACGTACCATGTGTATCGAATCCAGTCGAAGTTTTTGAGTTCCTTCTTCGATCATTTATCATGACACTTGCACCTATTCGGAAGTCCAACGCAGTTCGAGAAACGGCGGCAACTTATTGTATTAATACCAATTCATCTCACCTCGACAATAGTAAGAGCAATGCACCATGGAAAAAATTCGGGAAGTAATCTCCTCGCGAAGTAGAGAAAGATCCACCAGAAGCGACAATTACGATGAATATTAGATCCATGAGAGGAATAACGAAAGCCAAGAGAGCTACGACAATCTCGGGATCGAAATGAACCAATATCGTTCTTTCCCTGAGAGGATTTCTGCAAAAATTTCAAGCAGTTTCAAACGTCGGGATCACGCCCCTGACGATTACAGAGGCTTCAGCACATCAATCGCCGACATGTGGCGAAATCCGGATTACGAACGGATTGACTGTTGCTCTATTGCTTGTTTCGGTTGCATCCAAGCAGATAGGAATCGGTATTTGGTCACTGGAACAAAACCTCCTGGTCTCTGTCGGCGTATATGCGTCCATATATTTGTGCCAATTTGCATATTGGGGCTTGCATTATTTGTCGCCTTTAATGTGCCCGACCCTTGGTTGAACGAAATGCTATGCTACGGATTTCTTATCGCATTTGTGCTCTATTTCTTTTCTCAATGCGACAAAGGAGCATGGAAAAGGAGACACGTCAGGCGGAATCTGTTGTGGGCAAAGCACCAAAAGCTCACTTCGGGTCGCTTCCAACGAATGAGCAGAGGGGATTCGGATGATACGGATGATTATTCTTACGAAGGCGAAGAAGGAGACGATGAGGAATATTTACGGGGACAAACATACTCTGATGTGAAGAGTTCCCATGCAAGTTGTGGATGTTACGCTGTAGACCGACCGCATGGATTTCAATATGGTCCAGACGAAAAAATCACCTGCTGTACCAAACTCTTCGATTGTTTCACCAACTTATGCTGTGCAAAGCTATGCTGTAGATACGTGGTATGCTGCGGATACTGCGCTGTGGCACAAGAAGCCAGGGAGATCGAGACTTTGTTGCGACCTGGAATGTTGAGCATTGACTACATTACGATGCAGCCAATGATGGAATACTACCCTAAGATTTACGAAGCTCGTTGTAGTATCGGGCGGCCTACTTCGTGGTGGTATACTCGGCTCTCAACATTTTCTCGAACGGCAGTCAATAGATCTATCGTGATGCTGGTCTTGTTGCTTGGATGGAGTTTGCTATCACGAAGACTGAATCACAGCTTTGGAATCAAGAACTTCGTCATTCTTTTCCTGACCCTTCTTCAATCTTTCGTTCTTCTTGCCGTGGTGTATTGGAAGCACACGAGAGACGTGTCTATTGATGCATTGATCAAGTTTTTCGCTGCGGGATTCTGTCTTAGCACCACATTGGCCATTTTCTTCGAGTTGGTGTTTGGCCTGATGGTCCGACTTACTATGGCTATTGTAATGGCATTGTCAGGGATAGAGTTGGTCGAAGAAAGTGGGTACAGCCTTTCCAAAGCAGAATCTCTAAGCACGATGACTGCAGCGCAAGAAGTCAACTACAGTGGAGTAGATTACCGTGAATATTTGAAAGCGTACAGTAACGACCACCCAGTTGTCTACACTCTGTACCTTTTCGTGATTTCATTTCTGCTTGCCGCGATGATCGAAGAAACATGCAAATATTTTGGCTATCGCATGATAGATCATCCTGATTTTTACACTCAGTCAAAAATTAAGGAAGCTGCCAAGTGCTACGAGTGTAAGGATGGCGACGAAATGTCTCTGCCATCATTTTCGCATCAAGATCGAAGTTTCCAGTCGAGAGGAGCTGCCGTTACTGTTTCCATGGTTGCTGTTGGTGCGGGTTTCGCTTGTTGTGAAAACCTGGTTTACATATTCATTTATGGAAAAGCAAACTACACGTCAGAGATTTTCGTCTTGCTCGCTCGCTCTTTGTTCCMAATCCACCCCATCGCAGCTGCTCTTCAGTCTATCGGAGTCTGCAAACGAGATTTAGAGAATGATGGACGTAGACTCGGAAAAATTATACTTCCTGGTATTATCTTCCACGGAGCTTTTGACTTCATGTTAAACTGGATATACTACATTGGTTCCAGAAAGGGAAACTATGTGGACGAAGATGATGGTATACAAACAGAAAATGGGTCAGATAAGATCTCGAACGTGGTGTCAATTCTCATCATTTTCAGCGGCTTGCTGTATTATTTTCGTGAAAGTCGAAAGCAGAGAAAAAGACTTGCATCTCTTGATGGCGAATCAGAGAACTCCAATTGGGCGTGATCGAAGCATGTGACAATTTTGCGCCGCAACAGTCAAAGGTTGAACCAGAAAATGCTGAACAGTTTTGTGTTTTTGTGTGTATGGCTTGGATTCAAGTTCAAAATTAGTTCACTCTGTAGTGACCATGATACCTACACCATTCAAGAATATTTATACTTACTTTTCCAAACTACTACTTCTAGTTGGGAACACATCCTAATACAAACGTTCTCTAAAATTTCATGTGTGTTAAATAAAGGCATTACAGATCAGGGATGTCTTTTATTATGTTTCTTGTGAGTGTCTTTTATGAATTTTATTTCTGAAATCTATCAATTCACTCTGTACCTTTCTGGAAATCCTCAAACAGGTTGTACGGACAGAAGCCTTGTTTCTGGTAATGACAAATACTTGAAACTAAAATCACAATCAGTTTCAATTTCATCCTTTCACTATTTTCCATTTGGACATTTACTTGGCCAAATTATCTGTGGTGTCCAGTACTCCTCCCATACTAACATGAGCTAGTTAAATTGAAATAAGTTCTCTCCATTTGTCTTTCTTAAGATAAAAATAAAATTTAATTTTTACTACCCTCCCTTTCAGCAATAAAGGCACATCAACAAGAAGGAACTGCACAATAAGTATCCTGGTAGTACAAAGCCTTGTTCCCCACCAAATGCAAAAACAACCAAGTCTCCCAACCCCTATCATTACTCTAGTTCTTCCAGCAACCCAGCAGTTCTCCAGATTCAATCTGGCTTGATAACCAGTTGGTACAGAACAGCTCTGACAGATTCCTACTATCTTATTCCATAATATCATTTTTGTTTACAGGAACAAAACCAATGGTTCAAACTTACCMTCAATAATATTGCATGGCAGTTACTTCAAAGAATGGGCATGCACAGAATTTACGATATGTGCTTGCTACAAAATGTTGTCACATCCTTCTCCCAACTACCACAGTGTTGCACCAATGGAAATACCATACCCAGGACATCTGTTGCCTTTGCAAAGAGCCAGAGACATGTAATCTTTTTTTGGTGTTCACATGGCATGATATGGCTCCAAGAATGACAAAGAGAAACTGCCCAATTACAGGACAATTGTCATTGATACTTTGGCCAGCAGTTTCATCACTGGTTTGTTTGATACTAGTACTGGTTACCTTTCTCCAGAGAAGTATCCCAAAACTCTTCACCCAGTCATTTGTTTCCAATTGGAAATTGGATGGTAGCACCTATTTGTAGGAGGACATCTCTCCCAATATTGGATTACTGGTCCTGATCTCCCTTCAGGAGGCTACTTGGTGGAGTTCTTTTTGAATGCATATTTTTCCTTGTGGGAGTTGCAAAACAAAGAGCTTCTTGGCCACTCCCTGTCCCGGAAACAAGCCCTGCAATATGAATGGTTGACCAAGCAAGTGAAAAACGCTTCAACCTCCAAAATAGCTAAGACCTGTCCATCACATGCCCACCTCATTCCACTGGTAGTAGATCCTAAAGCTTTCCTCACCCATGCCACCACTACCTCAAAGTCTATGAGAATGTATCGTACCACTGCTGCATCTACCTCACTTTGCAATGCAAACCAGATGACGCAGTATTTTACCTGTAAACAAGCCCAAGAAAGCCAGCATCTTCCCCAATGGTCCTGAAACTTCATCACCACTTCCTCAAATACCACTTTGTTTTACTACTTGTACTACAATAGCTTGTGCATCAAGAAAAAGAAGAAGATCACATAAACAAGTTTGTTCAAATATGCTACTGCTATGTTTGCTACTTGCACTGTTTCAAACACACTGCAATTTACTACCCTAATCCAACACAATTTCTAAAAACAAAAATGTTTTTATTTCAGACCTTGTGAACTCAAGAAGAGGCACTAGGAAGACCAGAACCATCACTTCTGGAACAAAGAATTATCCTAATAGTTGCTACAAGGGGCAGCATTCCTAAAGTATTTAATAGAATGGATCATACTATCAACAGAGAAGATTTGTTAGGACATCACAATGTTTATTCTACCAAGAAGAGCACAGCAAGAAGCAGCTATTGTGTCATTGTATTCCCAATGTCATCTGTCACAAAATAGTACTAGTAGTAGAACCATTGACACCAGTGTAGCATATGGATCTTTGTTTATAAAAATGACTGCTAACCAAATAGCTACTAGTAGTACAACTTGAAAAATCCTCAAATGCAAACACCACAACTGATAGTAACAAACTCTACAGTAGTTAATTTCCAAGTGAGAAAGAAGGGGACAAATAGAACTAGAAGATATATATCAAAAAAAGTTTGTCATCAAGAATGAGTCTAAGAACAAGAAGAGGGGAAAGAAGAAAAATGATGATAGTAAGAAATAATTTTGTCAGTAAACACTGTACTCCTAATAGACATTACAAAAGATAACAAGGATGTCGAAGAAGAAGAATAGGATGCAAGGTAGCAAAAATTGAAATATATCACTGAAAAAGGTATGGTAAGATATTTTGAGATGTAATTATTGCAGCAGAGTTGTGTCAGCAAGTAATAGTATGTCCTCAGTAGAGGCAAAAGACAAAAAAGAAATTTTACAAATAGTGAGTATAGAAAAAGGACATTGAAAGTGGACAAATACTTTTTCTTTCATACACAATACTGCGGTGAAGGTATGGCATCTTGAATTGGCAGTTGAAGAATTAATGTTTGTACATTATTTTCTGTTATGTGATCCCTAATATTCAATGTCTTGGATGAATGAGATTTCATTGTTGAAAAAGAAGAAACATAATGATGGTGATGTTGCCTGGCATATTTGAGCTGTAGGAAAATACAAAGAAGCACACTATATGAGACATTGCAACACAGAGTTTTCTTAAAAACTTGTATTGATTGCTGCAGTTACTATCTGCTAGACCTGATTGCTGACACTGTGCACGACTTCATCATTCTCTTTTTCATTTGAAGTATTTGTAGCATTTGTTGTTTGTTCATTACCAGAGTGAGATTAGATGGCATCACATGTTTGCTGGCCATCTTTCACTCCAGTGGATAACTGACCCTAACCTTCATTCTAGCTCTTATTTTCCAATTGTGCTGGGGGATTTCTGGTGGAATTTTTTCTTATATCTCGTTATGGGAACAGAGAAATAAAGACCTTCATGGCCACACTCTTTCTCAGAAGCAAGCACAGCATTGACAATGGGCAGTACTGAAAGTCTGCTTTTTGTTTGCACTGAAACCACAGACTTGTCCATCTCACACCCACTTATTCCCAGATGACATGGAGACATTCATTGATACTGCTTCTACTTCCATGCTCACATATTACCACTGGGTCTACAAAAAGACTATCCTTGCAAGTGTCAGCAAGGCCTCACTCACATTGACCTCCAACACACTCAATTACCCAGATATTTTCACATCTTCCTCATAGTAAATAACCACTGGAGAGCGTCACACAAGATAGGCTGGCCTTTGATGCATACTCCAAGAAGAAACAACACAATCCACCAGCATTGCCAGGGGCTTCCTCAGTCTCAGTGACAACTCAGACAATCCAGACTACTTTGCATCAGTTTTACAAATAATTATACAGCCAACTCCCCTCCTCCCAGGTCACCCTTCCACCAAAAAACTCCTCAAAGGGATGCGCCACCCCTTGGTGCAACTAGGACCATCATACCTCATCCCTGAGGCTATGATTCTGGCCACATAGTGCCTCTTCTAGTTCACGAGCTTAAATATAATAAAAAAATGTTTAGCACAGGAGCCGGTACAAAATACACCTGCATCCTAAATCTACCAGCAATGACTAGTACCTTAGGAGTTGTAAAAAAGTGAGGAACAAAATTCATGGCAGGGCTTTGCATGCTTACCACATACAGTCTTCAGAGAGTATGGCAAGGTGGGGCATTGAATATCTGGTAAACACATATATTGGTTTGCATTGACAACCAGGCTTTGCTGTTGGATTACTACTAGAACACTCACACATAATGATAGTCTATGTTCTAAAAAAATGACACAAAAATGGCAGACAACATCAACAGGGAAGCAAACATGTTCAATGCACAAAAACGCCTAGTATGAACAAGCAAAAGAGAGGGGAAAGGTGAATGATGCAAGTGTTACATTGGTAACTGGGCAGCACAATGATACAGCAAGTTCTATGAAAGAAGAAGATGAGATATGTACCGCTGCTGGCCACAACACTGTGATTACCAAGATGATGGAGGAAATGACTGCAATGAAAAAACAGCTGGAATAAGAGAAACAGAAAAGTAGAGTGATACCAAAATCTTTGACCAGCACTATCACCATGTGGACCAAACATACAAAGAGGCTTGGAGCAAATGTTTCCTGTACAAACAAGAAGATGCTTCAGTGCACATTAATTCATTATATGATGAGGATGCAAGTATTCAAAAACATAAAATTTCCCATTGATCAACATAGTAGGCATAATGAGTGTGTCTGTCAACAAGCCATTGTGGACAAGGTAGTTATCAAAATGGATGAGTTTCTGAACCACTCAGAATTCTTTCTGTAGGTGAAGCATAAACTGCCTTGGAATAAAAGATAAATTGAGACACAATGGGCAGCAATACAAAAGACAATAACTTGGGTTGGTAGGCAACTAATACTAGTAGACATGATAGCACAACAGATGAAGAATTTGAGACCTAATGTTTGCATTTGTTACTCTTTACTTTTAAATAATTTAAATTGATGGTTGAAGAATATATTGGCAGGTTGCAGATTTTTGTAAAATATTTGTTACACAAAACATTACCTGACATGAATAGAATTATTACGGTAAGGATAAAAAGTAAAAAAATGCACCCTAAACAAGAAGGAAGTTTGACATGAGTTGGTATGTTTTGAAAAGAAAGAAAGGCAGAATAAAATAGTTTGTTGGTCAGAAACAATTTTGGAACTTGATATCTTTCTAGTAGAAAAAAGGTAAACTGTGGGGTTGAAAATTGCAAAATCACTGTACACTTGCTCTGTACAAGAAAGGATGCAACAAGGGTCCCATTGCATGTTTTCAACAGATTGCAAATATTTTTTTGTGGTGGTAGATTGAATCCCATCCAGGTGTCACAAGTGCCACCATGCAGCAGGCATCTGCTTCTTTGGCTTTGCCAAGTGTAAAACCAATGCATGATCTTACCAGCGGTATACATACCTACTCCACAAGTAATGTCTTCCACACTTGGGGGCCAGTCTTGAAGCTAGTTTCTCTTGCTTTCTTTGAACTGCAATGACTTCCTCTCAGCCCTCACTCATCCATCCCACCATCAAGTAGTATGGCAGTGAAAGAATAAATAAGTGGAGTGAACAAGTGGCAATGAGCTTGGTCATGCTCAAGTAGTAGTAAAGTACATACTAAATCTGCCTAAACATTACTGGGGGGGAATGCTTAAGTAGTAAAATCTATGAGTACCTTTTTGATTGTAAAAAAATCTTAATATTTTATTAAACCTCATGAACTAGAAGAGGCACTGTATGGCCAGAACCATAGCTTTTGTTGGAAAGTATGCTTCTAGCTGCTCCGAGGGGTGGCACTTCCCTCCAAGGAGTGTTGGTGGAAGTGTGACCAGGGGGTGTTTTGCTGGATTTAAAAGAATTGATTGAGCTTGGTTTGGAGTAAACTGGATGAAGTAACTTGAGGAGCCAAAGAAGTGTCTGGCACGGCAGGTTGTTTGTGTTGTTTCTTTTTGGAGTAGGCGTCAAAGACCAGCAGGGCTTGTTGTGTGACACTCTCCGGTGGTTGTTTACTATGGGGCAATTGCGAAAAGTACTGGGTAATAGGGCAAGTGTTGGAGACAGAAGCAAGCGACGCTTGTTGGACACTTAACAGAATTGTTTTCTTGTAGACTTGATGGTAATATATAAGCATGGAAGTGGGTGTAGGTGAAAAGAAGAAGAACAAGATTTCCATATCTTCTGCTGGGAATAGTACTACTTTTAGTAGGTGAGCATGGGACAGACAGGTCTGTGGTTTCAGTTCACCAAACAAAGCGCAAACTTTCATCACCATACCTTTTTGATTGTAATTGTTTCATCAGTACCACAGTACAGAACAATACTACAAAAATCAACCCTAACATCAGTAGTGGGCTGGGGGGGATGCTTAGTAGGCAGGATACAAGTAGTACGTACCGTAGTTGGGTAGTACGAGTACCTAGTTGAAAGTTGAAACCTACGCACATCGACTTCCACTGCACTGAAGCAGACCAATCTAATCAAATGAATCAAATCACACGTTCGTCCTCCTCCCCTAACATTCTCGTTTTCGTACAGTACTATTTACCGAAGATGAATCGGCGAACAAGAAGTTACAATTACTTTTTACTGTACGGGAGTCTTTGTAGTATCGTACCGTAGAGTTGGAAGAATAACCGGAATTTTTGTTTTTTAGCAGCAGCGGCATTGTATGGCTATTGCGATACTAAATTTTTGAATTGAACACTGCTACAAAGGAACTTCGAAAAAAGGCGCTGCTGTAAATACCTCAATCAGACGACGGAGAGTTGTGGACAAATCTCTGAGTTTCGACGGAGATCAACATCACAACAGGAAAGTTTCTTACGTTTAACAGTAAGTGGTACAGCGCTGTAATTTAACCATTTGAATTGAGCTTAAAACCGTTAGGTTCCTTTGTTCGACTTCGGTGCAAGGACATCTTTTGTTTCGAGTGTCCGAGTCCGTCCTGGTGGAAACGCAAATGCCGTCCTCTGAACCAGGTTCTAAGCTTATGGTCTTTCTCGTTTTCTTTTGCTTGTCCTATAGGGTACGGAAGGAGGCGAAGCCTATAATTCTTTATGATCTTGTGCTTGAAAGTTTGTAATATTCAAAAATTAGAATCACAACAGGGGAGTGGGGAACATTTTTTTCACATCTTTCAGCAATAAACCATCGTCTTTCAGAAAGCCGTACATTAGAATTCGACACATTGACGCACCATGGGTTCAGTAAACGAGGATAACTGGGTCGACGGTATAATCGATCAACTTTTGCAGGCTAGAAGCCGGAAACCCGGTACGCCTGTTGATTTGTCGGTTCAAGACGCCACCAGCCTGTGCAACTACGCAAGAGAAGTATTCATGCAGCAACCGATGCTACTGGAGCTCGGCGCTCCGATTAAAATTTGTGGAGATGTTCACGGGCAGTACACTGACTTGTTGAGACTTTTTGAGTACGGCGGGTTTCCTCCAGAGGTATGTCATTGTTTTCCATTTGTTTCCATTTTTTGTAAGGAACAGACAGAATTTATGTTTCTCTTCTCGGACAAATCTTATCTTCTTTTTCTTATTTACATCGAAATAGGCAAACTATCTTTTCCTTGGAGACTATGTTGATCGCGGAAAACAATCCTTGGAAGTCGTTTCCCTGCTATTCGCGTACAAAATTAAGTACCCCGAGAACTTCTTTCTTCTCCGTGGTAATCATGAGTGCGCCGGTATCAATAGGATCTACGGGTTCTATGATGAATGTCGCCGTCGTTTCTCGGTGAAGATGTGGAAACAATTTTGCAATACCTTCAATTGCCTCCCATGCTGTGCTGTGATCGATGACAAGATTATTTGCATGCACGGAGGGCTTTCTCCTGAATTATCACAAATGGAGCAAATTGCCAACCTCGCAAGGCCATGCGATGTTCCTGACACGGGTTTGCTTTGCGACATCCTCTGGTCAGACCCAGACCCGAGCATCACAGTAAGTAGCCTCCAAATTTTGTCAAATGCCATTGCCTTCCTTCTCAGTAGTTGGAACCAATTTATCTCTAACACAATTCTGCGTCACGTAATTCTACATTTATACGCCTTTAGGGATGGGGAGAAAATGATCGTGGTGTTTCTTTTACTTTCGGCGGTGATGTCGTTCGTCAGTTTCTTCGTAGACATGATCTCGACTTGGTGGTCAGAGCCCACCAGGTGGTGGAGGATGGTTACGAGTTTTTTGCTGGACGTGAACTGGTCACTGTCTTTTCAGCACCGAACTACTGTGGCGAGTTCGACAATGCAGGTGCAATGATGACAGTTGATGACACCCTGATGTGCTCATTCCAAATTCTGAAACCAGCAAGCGCTGCACAACAAAGATATGGCGGTCGGCAAAATACGCCAGGACGCAGATAAATGTCGCTGTATTACATTTGAAGCCTCTGTATTTTTACCGCCAACATCCATTTCAATATGCTACTCGGTTGATTCAGATTTCGTACGAAAGCTAGAAATTGAAAAATGTAGAATAATGATCGTATATCTTCTTTTCTCTCGCAGCAGTTAAAACCAAAACATTCTATTAACGACAAATGTTATTGAAGAACAAAGATTTTGAGATATCTCTACCGCTTAGTAATCCATCGTACCATTCATTTCTGAAGGAATCAATGTATCACATTATTTGATCGTATGCCCCAAATCTAGGCCTTTGCAGGAATAAAAAAGAAACAAGCAAGATTTTATGTGCGAATGTCTATTCCAATATCTGCATGTCCAAAAATATATTGTCCTGCCCAGAAGTAATTTCTCTCTTGTATCGTGCTTGATGTAAAATCATAATCAAAAGCCACTGGAAATAGCTTATAGGGTCCAACACTACTCAAGAATAACATTGTGAAGGAAGAAAAGCAGTGGGAAGATGGGAATTAGTATCACATCAGCATCACAATTGCATAGACAATAAATAAGAACAAGGTGATTCTACTAGTAGTAGTACTACTACTACTACTACAAGAAGTAGGAATCCAGGAATTCTTGACACATCTTAGTAGTTTGAAGAAGAATAGACATAGGCAGAAATAATGGAACTACTACTAGTTGCTACAAGAAGTACAGTTTAAGGAGAACAAGAACAAGCGATACTACTACTAGTAGTAGCACTACTTGTAGTAAGTACCTGATGATAGTGTAAAAAATGTGTGTTCTCAAAAATCCTTGTTACTTATTCTTGTTATCTTGCTTCATAACATCCAGTTCTTTGAACATGATATTCCATCTCTATGGTGTTAGTATCCTGGTGGAAAATTTACACTGCAAGACAAAGAAGGCACCAAGATGAAATCTGGTGTGTGTGTTTCTGCTGGCCACCATTATCATCCACAGCAGTCTACTAGATAGTTGGGCAGCACTGACTACCATAGAAAATTACACCATGACAGAGGGTACTAGCAACAAATTCTTCTGGCACCTGCTCACCCCACCATTATTCACATACCTGTCAATTATAGTAGTCCCAATAAATCCTATTCTTCAAAATTTCACCATGCTAGTACTAGTACTACCCTGTTGGAGCTGACCAGACACCACCAACAACAAAATAAAAAAGAACAACTCTGTTCTTGTCCAAAAAAGTCTTGGCTCTGGTAAAAATTGTGCAACAGTTGTTGAATGATTGCTTTGCCATGTATTACAATTGATTAGCTTTGTTGTCTTTTGTCATGTTTTGCAATCGCCAATTTAGTATATCTTGCTATTCTAACAACGATAGAACCATGAATAAAAAATTGCACATCAATTGAAATTGCGTTTCATTGGGCATTCTGAATATTAGAATTAAGGTTCTGAATGTTAATGTAGTTTTCCCAATGCCAGACTTAATGGTTGGAAAGTTAGTATATGAGCATAAGCCCCCTACATAGATTGTAGTATTCCCCAATCTTCATTTGGTACAATTAAAAATCTTGCACACCCTACAGGGCAAAAAGGCATTCTACTCAAACACCAAAAATTATTACTTGTAAAATCATATGTTAATTTTGAAGCCCACAATTTAGAACTGATCCTACATAGATCTAGTACTAGTATTCGGTCACTCTTTTCTTCAACTCGAAACAATTCAATAAGCTAACCACAACAGCTCCAGAAAGGCCTCTAATGAGATCCCCTTTGGGAATATGCTCTGTCATAGTCTTAAGAAGATTGCCGTGTGTCATTATTAAAAATTAGAGCCCAGGGGGGTGCCGGTTCTCCATTAACAGCAGCCAGTATGGCAAAAATCGGCCAGTGCTGGTGGAGACGGGCTGCTGCTTAGAAAATAGGCCAGAACTCTATCAAAAAGCAATTTTAGACCGCCAGACTAAGTGCCCAGTCCAGGTTGATGTAATTACTTAGAGATCCATGTCATTGGGAAGCAAAAGGATGCTGTAGTGGCATAGAACTAGTCAGCCAAAGTTACAGTAGTGGATGGCCAAAAATCGTAAATTCTAGGTGTAATTTTATATCGCTTCGACTGGTCCTCACAATCTTTGTACAGAACGTACGGTAGTTTGTATTTTTACCGTGCTCGTTCGTACAAAATATGTCACGGGGCTAGCAATTATTTAAAGTTTTGTGACCGCCTCGCTCGCAGTTCGTTGTCTGCCTGAGTTTGAAAGTTGCTCATTTTTTCCTCGTCTCATTGATACGAATTGAATACAAGTAGAAGTAACTCGTACAAGTACCGGACCCAGTAGAAAAAAAGTTTAAAGTACAGTATTACTACCACAATACTATGCAGCAACTACTAGTACCGGTAGTGTTTAGTGTTTGACGTACGCGCACTGATGTAAACGTTTTGTACCGTACAGTACAGAAATCAATTGAGTTACAATTTTTCAGTCTATCCGAATAGCCATGTCACGACGGTGTCGTCGAAGAGCTTTGTGAACGTCAAACCAAAAAATAGAGTCAACGAAATACTGGGACGGCTTTTAGATAATCCGTGATCATCGATCGAACTGAGTTTTTCCTTACAGAATAAAGTGGAAGTCTCCGATGTCATCAACTGCACCGACTACCCATTCATGGGAAGCACAAAAAGAAAATGCAGCGCCACTCGAAAGAGGGCGAAATGTTTCCTCTTTTGGTCTTCGACAGTCTGTCACAGACAAACAAGACTTGCAGGAAAAGCTTCAAAACTACGAGTCGCTTGTCCGTCCGTCGGAAGATCCAAAAGTCAAAGAAATGGACGATGACCCTCTTTCGCACTGGCTGTCGTACATCAAGTTTTATCAAAACAGTTTCCCCTCGGATACCCGTGAAAATTTCCTCATCATTGAGCGTTGCGTGCGAGCTCTGGTCAAAATGAAAAAATACAGGAATGATGATCGATTCGTGAGCGTATGCGCAAAGTATGCCGATAAGACGAAGGATCCCGGGCAAGTTTTCAAATATCTTCACCAACAAAAAGTTGGAGCTCAGATTGCTCTTTTTTGGATTGCTTGGGCATTTGTTGCAGAAAAGGACAGTGATTTCCCATTTGCTGAACAAATATTTAAGAAAGGGATCAGCAAAAGTGCTGAACCTCTTCAAATGCTGAAACTTCGTCACAAACAATTCCAGCGGCGAATGAGTCGGCACTGGTTGAACTCTTCCAAGACAAACGATCAACTCAACGACGAGTATGACAGTGGAGAACAAAATAGACCGTCGAGATCAACACTTGGAGGTATTCCTCGCGATCGACTGCGTCGTAATGATAGATCGCAGAGAAGGGTTCAGCATGGAACTAGTGAAAATACGCTCACGCGAAGACCAAATGGCACCATGCGTCCAGGAAATAACAAAAATAGCAATACCGTCTGCAACAAAGGTGGCTTCAGTATATTTGTCGAGGAAGAAGGCGAAAACGCCTATAATTTGGACCAGGACTTGACCGAGAACAAGAGAGGTACTATTGCTCGAGATTCAGATCGCAGGAAAGAAAATACGCTTGCAGCAGAGCGATGGAACAAACGAGGTGGAATACAACCTACTTACGCGAAGACTTCTGCTGCACCGTCACAGAGTAAAGGGCCAATGCCAGCTTTTTCTGTCTTTGTCGACGAGGAGTGTGCCCAAGAGAATGACAGGCAAGAAAAAGAGCAAGAAAAGCAAATTGATCTTCATAGACAAGTGCGAGATGACAGAACTTTCAAGGAGCGGCATAGTGAGGGAATGGTAAGTAGATCGAGGCGAGGAAAATCCTATACTATCATGATTTTTTAAATGGCAAAACAGTTGAACTAATGGCAAATTTGAATTCTCAAACTTAAAACAGGCCGAGAAATTGTTCAGAGATCCAGTTCGATACATGAAAAATCCAAATCAACTTCAGTCAGAAAACTTAGAACTACAAAAACTACCCGAGAACCAGAAAGTAGATAAGCTAAAAATCGAACGAAAGAATCGTGCAGGTTTCAACAAACGTCTTCTCAAGACCGAAAATGGGAAGGAACAATGCTTTGAGGAGGCTCGAGCTAAAGCTGGTGGCTACACTCTCCAATCGGATTCATCAAACAATTTCAATCTGCTCCAAAATACGAGTAAGGCAGATCAGAGCTCGCAAATGGATCTAGATGATGGGGAAGCAATCATTGACGTTTCGATGTCAGAATTTTTGTCTAGATCTATGCAGTGCACCACAGATAGAAAGATAATCATTCCGAACGAGAGACTTGAATCTGATACTGAAGGAAAGAGGCTATTCGGCCATGCGGATGAAAGTTTTGGAGCTGGCCTTAATCAAACTGCTATTTCGCACGCAAGCTCGACAGTAAATGAAATTGATATTGTAGGGGTAGGCTTACATGGAAAGCAGGAGGAAGAAACGATCAATACAAAATTTGCCATGAGAGAGCTAAGTATGATGTTTTCAAGTCCCGCTTTCGGGGTTGGTAGCGAGCGCAGACTAGTCGATCATTCCCATGCGTCCAAGATCGATGAATTGGCAACTTACGAAGGTCAGCCTGACGAATCATTCGGAAATGTAGGAGATGAAATACGGCTCGATAACTCTATTTGCAACAGTGGAAGGGAAGGAATTTGTGGAAAAGATAGGAACAATAATGACAAATCAGGGTTTGTTATATTCCAAGATGAGAACGCTTGCGATTCGAATAAGGTTCAAATATCTGGTGGCTTTCAAATATACGACGAGGGAAACGAAGACCCTACACGTCGTGAAACTAATCAGACAACAGGAGAAAACAATGAGTTACGCGCTGGATTTCAAATTTATGTCGAAGGAAATGAAAATGGAATTGGCCGCAGATCAGCAGAAAAATCAAGAGAGAACACCCATTCTGGTATCGGATTTCAGATTTATGAGGAGGAATATCAAGAAGAGAACATAGATGAAAATAAGCTTGAAAGCGGAGACACCGCAAGTATTTCTGACGCCATCGCGTTGCTAGATGGTAAGATCGAGCCCGATGGTGAAGCTTCTCTTAGCTCTTCAGAAGAAAATAAAAAAAATCTTAATGGAGGGGAAGATACAGCTGATCTGTCCCTATTTAATGAAATTTTCCAGGAAAAATCGAGGGACGAGGAAAAAAACAATGGGTGTCAAATGAAAAGGTTCAAAGTAGCTGCTTCATCCGAGTTGCATACCGGTGACGAAGGTGGGCACAATTCTGTAAGATAATCACAATTTATGCCATAAAAATCAATTCTTTCCACGTATAAATTTCTCAATAGCGCTACATTCGATCCATATTTATATGTCATTACAGGGAGTGACTTCTGCACAACAAAGTTTGAGCCAAACCAACGATGATGTTCAGTGTACAAATAAACATTTAAAAAGAACATTAGATATGATGGAAAGAAACGACATAAATTATGATGAGTACATTACTCAGAACATCAAAACTGCTTTGAGCAATTTGCAAAGAAATCCTGAAAATCCCAATCCAAAGGCTACTCTTTTCTCGCTATTGACTTCCGACGGCAAAGCATTTCACCTTCCGGCTACAGCTTTACCCAAACAATTACGCCGAAGACACATTGTTTCCAATACAAAAGTAATGGCGGGGGAACTCGGTGGGTTTGTCTTGAGGAAAGAATTAGGGAGGGGTGCTTACGGGCGAGTAATTCTAATGAATACACACAACTCTTGGCATCACAGCAATATTGCTGTAAAAGTGCAATCGCCAACTGGATCACTCGCTTGGGAATATACGGTGCTTCGACGCCTGAAAAGTCGTCTATTGCAGGATGAAAGAAAAGATGTTGATTATCCTTACCCTGAGCCAATCAGTTTTATCTCGCTTGCAGATGGAGGATTAGTGAGTATGTCAGCAGCATCCGAAACAGGCTTGAACTTAGTAGATTTATCAAATTTCTACAAATTGAAACTCGGAAAGTCAGTCCCAGAACTTATTGCTTTGCATTACACGTCAATTGGAATGAGAATAATTGAGCAACTTCACTGGCATGGAAAAATATTGGTAAGTTCTTTTAATTAATTTTGTCATTTTATACTACTTCATTGTACTGTTCTAATCTTCTTCTTTGTCCTGTTTCTTAGCATTGTGATGTTAAACCAGATAATTTTGTGCTGTCCTCAAACAAACTCTCCGGCGCAACCTGTCCAATAGTAGAGTTCTCCAACCTCACCTTAGTTGATTTCGGAAATGCAGTCGATCTCAGGGGAAACACTCATTATACTGCAGAAGATACCCAAAATACATTATTATACGGAAACACATCTAAAATAGATATGCAGTGCATCGCTATGAGAAACCGTCAGAGTTGGTCTTACGATGCCGATACATTTGGTATTCTATGCTGTGCTCATGTCCTTCTGTATGGAACGCACCTAAAGATAAAAAAGTCGAAAAATAACGAATGGCAACCGTTGACTTCATTCAAGAGATACTGGAATCGAGACCTCTGGCAAGAAATCTTTGACACTCTACTTAATCTCGATGAAGTCTCAGGAACCGCTATTGGTTCGAGAGCATCCAGTTTGCGAGGGTTGAGGAGGAAGATTGACACGTATCTAGAGTCGAATAGCAAAGAGCTGTATCACTTGTTGTGTCGACAGGCCAACATCATCCCAGATAGTAGGGAAAAGATACGATAAAAAATCCTTGCGAAAAAAATGAAGGTAGCAATCAACTACTTGTTGCTTCGCAAAGGAGATCGTAACAGCTTTATTGCTGTTCTTGAGTTGGCAAAGGTCTCCCTTTGCACTAGTACCAGAACTCAACGCTTCATGCCTCGGCAGTTATTAAAGATGATATACATCAAGCACTGTCGAATTGAAAAGGCAGGGCAACAGAGAACTCAAGAAATTTCTATATACTATTCCGCCTTACCAGATACTCCATCGATTTTGAAACATATTATGATGCTGATTTCCGTTCACAAAACATAAGGAATGTTTGATTCCATGAAGAAAACTTTGCTGACGTAGTGGATTCAATTAATGTAACTTTCTAGAGTACCAATAAGCAGGACATTAACAAAACTTCCCGCGGAACTTCAAATTTCGCACCTCAAAAACTTATGATAGATTGGATTGTCCGTTTCTTCAACATAATCATAATGTAAAGTATCAAGGAAGCGCCCAAGTCGAGCGTTTGTTTCCTTGCCATCTGGTACTTGAATGCCCACAAGCACTCGGCCAAAGTCATCACCTGTAAACAAAATGAAGCGAAGAAGGATTATGAGGAAATCTGAATGTATTGTCAAACATTCCATCGTTCACAAAGATCAATTCTTGCATCAGAACGACGGCACAAACGTACCATGATTACGATAATGGAAAAGTGACACATTCCATTCTATATCTAAACTCAGAAGGAACCGTTGAAGTGCACCCGGTGCCTCAGGAAAATTAAATCGAAACAAACGCTCATCGGGAACATTGGACCGACCACCAGCCATGTTTCTGATATGGACCTTAGTTAGTTCGCTATCTGTCACGTCAGCACATGTAAATCCGTTGTCTTCAATGGTGCTTATGATTCCTTCGAAGTCATTGTCGATGTTAACTACGGGTTGAAAGGAAATCAAAACGTGTGCATCTCCTTGATCGTCGTAACGGTAAGAAAATTCAGTAACATTCCTAGGCCAAATGAGAGAATACAGTAGACGAAATGAACCAGGAGTTTCGGGAATATCTACAACAAGTGTTCGTTCAGATCCATCGGCACGCTCGGACACAAAACGAAGTCGATCAAAATCCATATTAGCTCCTGAAGTGATCGCTACTAATGTTTGTCCGGATATCTCATTCTCTGCAACGTACTTCTTCATTCCAGCAACACTTTTTGAGTTTAAATGGAGTAAGTGAATGGTGCAAAATTATTGGAAAGGAGATATGAGAGGCTCTGAACAATCAATCTCCCAATCTCCATCTTTAGATATTGTACTTACCCGAGCGCCCCAGCTGGTTCGAGTACAACACGAGCATCATTGTAGCTTAACTTAATGGCATCGCAAATTTCATCTGTTCCTACAGTAATCATCTCGTCGACAAGCTTATTACACACCCGAAATGTTTCTTCCCCAATTGTTTTGACAGCAGCTCCATCTGCAAAGAGACCTACGTGGTCAAGAGTAACCACTTTGCCTTCTTTCAACGATGCTGTCATACCCGCTGCATCATCCGCTTCCACACCAATAACTTTCACAGATGGACGCACTCTTTTGACGTAAGCGGCGATCCCAGCAAGCATACCCCCGCCACCGCAACATACGAAAATAGCGTCAAGTGGTCGACTCACACATGACTTCAAGATTTCGAGTCCAATGGTCCCTTGACCAGCAATTACATGCGGATCATCAAATGGGTGGACAATTGTCATACCCTCTTCAGTCATTAATCGCTTTGCCTCCGCAGCGGCCTCATCGTAATTATTTCCAAAAAGTCTGACTTCAACTGTTGGGCCTCCGTGAGCTCGAACGGCATTCACCTTGATGGTTGGGGTCGCCAGAGGCATAACGATAACAGCACGAATATTCAGCATTTTTGACGAGAGGGCAACTCCCTGAGCATGATTTCCAGCAGAACAAGCTACCACACCATTTTCGAGCTCATCCGACGACAGGTGGGCCATCTTGTTGAAGGCACCTCGAATTTTGAAACTGAATACCGGTTGTGTGTCCTCTCTTTTGAGTAAAACTGTGTTTTTCAGGTGCTAATACCGAAAGTACAAATAAAACAAACGGAATTTTGGGGGAAAGCAGTGTTGGTTGAATCGATGACAAATGGAAGATAATAAGCGAGCAAGCCAGGATATTGTATAGTGTAAATTCTAAGCACTCGCAAAACTCGCAGAATAGAACAAATCAAACGGGCTCCCATCCAAAAGCAGCCGTTCGGTAGAAAGCCTAATCCGACATGCGTACCACTTTGGGATCCCATTTGCTATTCTCCGTATTTGACTTACAGTACTAAGATTTTTTGCATGTTGCAATTCAGTTTCGATGGCAGCTTCGTATACTCGAGCGTTCAGAATTCTGTTCAAGTAGCCAACGGCGTGTTCTTTTGAATCCAACAGAATCGGTTGATTTTTCATTTCATTACCAGGTGCTGTCGACGGGAAAGATACTACTTCAGATGTTGCTGATCCGTTGTTCCTTATGGTGGAGGTTTCAACCATCGAAGATGAGAACGACTTCGCCGTACGAACGTTGCCAATCCCTGTGATCACGTCGTTCTCCAGTTTGTTGTTGACTATTCCTACACAACGGAAATTCCGACGTGGCAACCTTTTAAGCGTGTGAGAGATCATGCTGCAATGCATTCTTCAGATCTGTCTCCAACTTTCTTCGTTAGTCTTATGATGTAGGTTTGTTTAGTCTACCTAGAACATATAGTGGAACAGTAATACTCTCAAACTCAGTTTGACCTTTGAATTCCGAAAAAAAATGTATGAATTCACTACGTTCAACGTTTGTCTTGTACCGAAGGGTACGGTACTCGTACTTAGCCTTCTACCCGATTGTACCCGACAACATTCATCATCGACGATGGAACTCACCGAGTACGTACTTTGCCGTATGAATGAAAAGGGAAAAGGGATATGATACCGTACTAATCATTTCTGTACAGTACGTAGGTACAGTATTTTCATAGAGTACTCGTACGTACGGGTACTATTTGATGAGAGGGAATACGGGACTTCCGCTTCAAAATCCATCATAAATGTAATATTACTGTATTACTGTACTACTGTACTTATTTACTAATGAGCTAAAAATTTCTATTAGTATTTGTACAGGGAATGCCAATAAGAACTTGCCAGCATGGGAATTGTACTTAGTAGTTCTATTGTAATAGGGGCATAGTCGATTCTGTTTTGTTGAATACAGTATGAGTAGTACGTACTACTACCTTCTTATGTGCCGGGAACATATGAGTACTACAGATACTTTTGTACAGTAATTCATTTTCGCATACATAGCTGCACCATATGTGTATGCAGGAATGTTTTCAGCAGTGATAGACATGACAGGCTTGCTGAAATTACATATATCCCCCCCATTTTTTTGGAATCCATTATAATTGCTGCGCGCAAATTTTACAAGATTCCAGTGGTGCCAACATGATTGAGATTTTCAGGGAACAACCAGCTCTGCTGGCTCTGAAACTATGATCAAAATCATTTTCATCATGCTGATGTCTGTCGTCAGCAACTACGACAAAAAAGTTGCATTGCTCCTCTCATTCCTCCTCCAAAAACATAAAAAAGAGCAGTCTCCAAAACAGTCTCCATCCTCACTATTTGGCTACTAATTCCTCGCTCACAGCAAAATGTCCCCTTCAAGAAGAAGAGGAGGATGAGGAGACGCAACATAGACTCACCCTTGAGGAGAGCCAACAAAGCAACAGAAGGATTGCCAAGGATTGCACTCATGGGGATGAATGAATCACAATTTATCCATTTGTTTGGGCCTGGAGATGATCAGGCTGTTCTAAACTGATGTGGTGTAGACCATCCTATCTTTAGACATCTCCTTTCACTCTTTGAGCCAGTTTTTGATAGATATACAGTGGACAAGAAGTTTCTGCAGATCAGACCTCATCTCTTCACTAAGAATGACAAAAGGGCAATAGGAGGGAGATTACTGCCACCATTGGACTTGCATTAGTCTTGACTTGCTTCAGAACTTGTGGATCAGCAGCAAGAAGGGCCTTATCTACTATGATGTTTGGTCTCCCTTCAACACCCCTACATAAATGGTTGGAGTATTCTTTGGGAGTCCTTCTTTATGTGCTGCAAAATCATCCAAATGCTATTATTAGACCTACCTGTGATGAAGAAGTGGAGGCCCATGTGGCGGCAATTGGAAGAAAGTATGAGGTGCTTGGAAGAAAGAGAGTAAGTACTCAAGCAACTGGCTGCTGGAGATGTTAACAACACATTCCAATTCTTCTCTGATTGAGATTGTTGATTTTAAATTGCAGCAGATTGCCAATTCTGCAGATTACTGACAATGCTGCAGATTGTTGATTTGCTATGGATCGTCAATTTGATTCAATTTCCATGGTCATTTGGTTGTGTTCTTTAGTTTTAATGGAAGATTAAATGGAAGATAGTAGCAATTACAGCAGTTAAAATGCACACAATTTTGTATTATAAAGGATGATCTACTAAACGCAATCCTCATATCGTATAGGCTTGGCCACGCAAAAAAGCACGGTTTAAACCGTACATTAGCAATTCAATATATACGTAAACCGAATATCAGTCAATATTCGTCGTACGCCGTACTCCCCCACGCCATTAGAAAGCTCTTTGAATTCTCTTTTCAACCATGTGCTTATCATACTTAAGCGTCCATTGGGGAAAAAGTTATGGCTGTTCGCGTGAGTTGAACCTCTCTTAATGCCCTACGTGTTTTTTGTACTGTGCTTGGATTAGCTGCCATCTAATTACCGTGTAATGACTCGTGGGATTAAAATTTGACTTGTACTAGGCCTACAGTGTGCACGTGCGAGCGAAACTATTTTGCACGTGCGAGCAAAACTATTTTGGTGGGACTCAAAAATTCAGCATGTGCCCGGCTGTACACTGCAGTAGAAGCCAATTTTTAATCCCACGAGTCGTTACACAGTAATTAGATGGCCGCTAATCCAAGGTTTAAACCGTACATTGGCTGGCCAAGCCTATACGATAGATTCAATTAACCCACGTGATACACTGTATTATTTGAGTTCACTGCTAACTATAGCAATGTGTTATTTTGTGTCGCCAGTTTTGTTCTTTGTATACCTTCTCAAAAAAATCAGGACTGGTAACAGAGAGGGAACACATTGCACATGAATTTAATCCCACATGATTGCTGGGACACTCTGTTCTTAGAAGGAGAGTACATTCACACATAGCAGTATTGTGTGGGGACAAGATTAGTACTCCAGCAGTGGTACAGTACTACCCATAAATTGTAGAGGAAGCAAACAGCAATCAGCATGGAGCAAACAGCAATCAGCAAACATTAAACTAGTTTAGTAATATTAACAATTAGTAAATAATGATGGGATTCTTATTCCAAATTGTCATTTGAATCAGAGGAGGAGGAGTTGGAGGAGAAGGAGTCAGTCTTGCAACCCCTATTCTTTGATTTGTTCCTCTTCCTCCTCTTCTTTTTGTGGGTAGATGACAAGAAATAGGCACTAGCAAGGTCTCAAAGCATATCTTTGATATCTGTCATGTTTGTATTGTGCTGTTTCATCAATGCTTCTTGAAAGACTTGATTCTCTTGCATGAGCATCTAGAACATGGACACAAAATCTTTGTTACTGCTGTTGCTTGAGGACGCTCTACTTGAATAGGATCTCTTTGATGGAGGGTGTGGACAAAGAGTGCTTTGAGGAACAACCAAAGATTGAGTTGCTTGAGTAGCTTGAGATGATGTTTGAGTCAATGCTTGAGTTGGAACAGTTATCTAAGGGAGCTGAGTGGTTGCAAAATAAGTGAGCTCAGGGGGCATTGGCATTTCAGCATGAGTAAGTTGGGAAGGCTGTTGAAGAGATGGTGAAGGTGTTTCTTGGGAAGGCTGATGAAGAGGAGGAGCATTGTTCTTGTAGTTCTCCAAAGTGGTGTTATCATCACTAATAAGTCCACTGCATCCTTCCACCAAATCAAATTCCTCCTCTCCATCTCCACAAACAGCCTTGGCACCAATGAGATTCATTATATCCTTTGCAAGCTTGATGGCAGGAGTGATGATTGGATTCCCAATTGGAATTCCTTTCCTGTAGAGGGTCCTCCACTTCCTAGTGATGGAATCCCTGTCTTGCACAGTATTCCACCAGTTTTGTTCATGGTGCTGAACATTTTGTTCCCATTGATATATTCCAATAGGAAGGATCTCCTTCAGGATGTGCAGCATACACATGGTCTCCCTGATACTATAGTTATAGGATCTATGACTCCTCCCTCCTCTTTCTTGTACTGCTTAACCCAGAGCCACAGCTGGAGCGAGCTGGAGGCTCTACTGGAGGAGCTGGACAAGGCACTGTTGCTGGAGCTGGAGCCATGGTGGATAGTGTAGTTCTTGGAGGTGAACTGCTCCTTTTTCATGATTGATATGAAATCACATAAGGAATTTCACCCTCCCTCTCAAGAAGACAGTACTGGCGCTGCTTGCCTCTCTCAGCAAGCCCTGTATCCTCCACAACAGAAGAATCTGGATACTTGTGTTACTATTGACTAGAGGGTTACACATGCCTGCCAGCAGCCCCCCCCCCCCCCCCTCCTGTCATGGTCAGCATACAACTACTCTTCTTCAGTGATGCTGTGTTGTTCCATTTGTGTTGTCTTTGTTGAATAAGTTGGTCTGCCTCATGTTGCATTGCATATGTTGAGGGAAAGCAAAGATATGCTTGTTCATTTATTAGGGATCAAAAATTTCAGTTTGGCACCCAGTGACTGCTGTCTTTAGGGTGCGCCTGCTCACGAGACTGAAAATGATTTGTCAAGGATTCTTCCAATAAATATGGAAGTCATGTACACAGATCCTGGTTGCCGTGGTCCTACAACAACCACCAGTATTTGGTGTGTATTTGCAAAAATGAGCCAGTCGGTCAAAAATTACATACTTCTGGGTATGTGGGAACATTTCAAATTGTAATCATGGAAGTCGAAAAGAAAAAATACTAGAATAGTTTTTTCCATTGAAATTGCAGATGGAAAAGGGAGTCTGAGGGGGTAGAAACACTAAAAATCTGGTATGAAGTTTTAAATGTAGACCATAGTGCAAAATGAATGGCTGTTTTTAAGGACTATAAACTGTTTCTTCCAGAAAATATACAGAGCCAACCAATAGTTGCTGTTTCTCCGTAACATAACAGTTTCTTCCACAAAAGACATTTTATGCCACTGGATGACAATGACTTCCACTTGAAACAAACTGCAAAAGACCTAATTTGTCATGCAATGATGAAGAAATAGTAGTACTGTATTTTACTACAAGTAAAATAACAATTGAAATTATGTTAATTGAGGCATTCTTGGGAACGTTAATTTCACATTCCAAATCTGAATTGAAGGTTTGGAATGTTAAATTTATCGTGTAAAGTTGGTTGTCGTGGGCCCACGACAACCAACTTTTATGTAATTACATATTTTTTCATTGGAATCCTTGACTGAACAGATTCAGTCTGGTCAGAAGGTGTGCTGTACTAAAGACATGAGGAATCACTTGGCGTGGGATTGTTCCAAATTCCAAAAATGGGGGGGAAATATGTAATTTGAGAGAGCCTGCAGAGCCTTCTTCAGTACCACTGAAAGTGATTCCCGAATACATACCTCAATATATGTTGGCTACGGTGCACTGGACTTCACTATCTTTATCTTTAGTGTGCGGTAGCCAGTAGCTTCTTTGAAGAATTCTTACAGCCCTGGACTTACCCCGAGGAAACAAAAAGAAACTTTTTTTAGTGTGGATTTGTGTAAACCCTGGTATTAATTTTTGAAAATAAATTAGTACGAAGTACCTTGACCAAAATAAATTATTCATTTTTAACTCGGAATGTATTCTCTAAAATTATGCCGCCAAAACGGATGATGGACAGACTTAACTCATAGCCCCTCTCTAAACTGATGACACCTGGTTTAAAAAACGCTCCAAAACATCACACCTCGCACGTCTTTTATCGAAGGGTCAAAGATACCACAATACGTAACCAAGAACCGCACGAAGGCCGTGCCACTGATCAGGCGACAAACTGATTTACAAAAGAACATATCTTTCTCAACTCCTACAATCACCAGCTCAAGAGACGAGTGATCCTTACACCGCAGGAGCACACTTCATTCCCCCAAAATATGGCGACTGCTGCAGCGATGAGAGCAGGTCCAAATCTTTATTCTTCGGTCAAGTCGTTTCGAGCATTTCGGCGATCTTTATTGCCTACCATAAGAGTTGGGTTCGTGCCAACGATGGGAGCCTTACACGAGGGTCATTTATCGTTAGTGAAACAGGCAATGTCACAAAATGATTTAGTCGTAGCTTCAATATTCGTCAATCCCACTCAGTTTGGCGAAGGAGAGGATCTCGACGTTTACCCAAGACAACTAGAACGTGATACAGAACTTTTGAGCAATCTTGGAGTGGTAGGTTTATTTAGTGTTTGCTTTCTTTGAAAGAGTCCATCTCGGCCTTTTCGACTATCTAATCCGTGTCAACTTTACCATTCGCTTCATCGACAGGATCACATGTTCGTCCCGAAACTCGAAGATATGTACACGAAAGACTTCGCAACTTATGTTGAATGTAAATCTTTTGATGATATTCCAGAAAGCATTGTCAGGCCTGGGCATTTCCGCGGAGTAGCAACAATAGTTACTAAGTTGTTCAACATTGTAAAACCAACAAATGCATATTTTGGTCAGAAGGATGCAGGTAAGGCTTTTTTTTCTTCGCACCTAATTTTTTGGTTTTCATTCAGATGCTTCAACAAACGCTAAATCTTACTCTTGCCTTTTCAGGTCAGTGCGTACTTATCCGAAGAATTGTACAAGATTTGGACATGGAAGTCAACATTGTTGTTGGGGAAACAGTAAGAGAATCTGATGGCCTTGCAAAATCCAGTAGAAACGCATACTTGTCCGAAACTGAAAGACCAGCAGCCGCAATAATATATAAATCCCTCCTTGCTGCTAAAGATGCGTGGGTTAGAAATCCTTTGATAGAAAGTTCGGAGCTTATATCCATTACACGAGATGTACTCGAATCTGAACCACTTGTTTCAGAGATACAGTATGTATCTGTCGAAAGTATGGCGACAATGAAGGCTGTAACCAAGCCTTCAGAGTGCGAGGACGGCACAACGATATCACTGGGATGTATTGTCGGCTCAGTTCGCTTGATTGATAACATAGTCCTAAAAAATGAATGATGATTCTTCAGAGGGCGAATACCCGAAAGGTTGGCAACACACTAAAAGGCAAAGCAAATTTACTTGACTAAACTGAGATGTTTCGATGGTTGGTAGTATTGTAAAACTTCGAATCATCTTTGGCCAAAATATAGCCTGCGAAGGCACCTTTAAGAACTACCTTTCCCAGGGAGTTGCAGTATACAGATGATGCGAATTTACGAAGCACTTCTCAAGAAAGAAGTTAGTTATGTTGTCATTAAGAAATCAGCGGCAGCAATCCAACGAGACAAAATCGGTTTCCGATGAGAAGTGGAAGACAGTATAAAAATATTAAGGAATGTTATCAGCTATGCTTTATACTCTCTTAGCTTCCAACAATCTGGAAAAGTAGAAGTTGGTCCCTGTCATTTCTTCCCGTGCAACTTCGAAGCCGGCTTTCTTCAAAGCATTGCGAACAACTTCTTCCTCATGCAAGTAAGCGCGTGTCGTTTTACTGGGTCCGGGGAAGAGCTCACCAACCTTCTTCAAGAAGGAATAATACCATGTCTTCGGTGCAAAAGAGATAATAACACGATCTTCTGCAAGGGAACACAAGTGACCGACCATTTCAGCCATTTTATCCGTGGGGTAATGGATGGCAACGTCAACGCAAGTGACGGTGTCATACTTTCCTGACACAGATTCCAAATCGGACGTGTAAAATTTTGCTTCGAGTCCCATTTCTTTAGCACGTCTTGCGGCCTCATTGGCCATTGAATCAGAGATATCACTGGCTGAGATCTTGGCTCCTGTCAAACATTTCGGAAATGAAGTTAGAGACAGGTTGCCGACATCGGATTTGAAGGTAAGAGACCATGATGATTATACACGACAAATGCTTACCCATTTGCGCCAATGGAATTGCCAAACTTCCGACACCGCAACCGCAATCACACACTGATTTTCCACTGATATCACCATCGTCTTGGACCCAGTTCAAAATCTTTTGGATAGTTTGGTCGTGACCAGTGCGAATGTCCAATTGAACCGAGTTGACTTCATCACTGTCGGAGTAGATTTTATTCCATCTGTTGAATCCTTCCGTGTTGAAATATTCGCGGACTTCGGTTTTGTCGTCGACACCGGTCGCAGCCAAAGATGATGTAGCAACGGTAGGTCTTGCAACAGGAACGAATGCAGAAACTCCAGAGAGCAAAGATGAAAGGATAATGGTGGAAGTAAACTTCATTTTGGCAGATTGATAGGTTTGGTGTCTTGATCGTTCAGTGGTTACTAATGGTCCCTTCTCAGCTTGAGGAGGTTGCTCATCATGAGGTCGAGGAAGACAGAAGATATCCTTCAGTACCGTACGGTACTGCCGAAAGTCCAGTCAGGTGCGAGTACGGTTTTCAATACTTCGTCGATCTTCTCGTGAAGAAAACTTCATTCCTACAAATTTTGATCGATGAGTTTCAAAAGACATTTCAGACTTCAACTTGTCTTGACAACTTTCCACGTGTTTCAGTTAGTCCAATGAGTCAATTTCTCATCAAAGTATGATTCATTCGATTAAAGTCTACAGAACAAAATCAAATTCTTTCACATCACATCCACCCAAAATGCAAAATGTGTTCCCGCATCGTCACATACATACCGTACGTGCATCAGACCAAACATTTTCAACAAAGAATTTTTCGCATCCCTTACGACGTTTGACGTCGGAGCAGGAGCCATCAAGATTACAGTACTACTACTATTTCACAGTGCGATGTGTTTGTAATATTGTTTTGATTGTATTGATCATCATTTGTTGTACAATCTTCTGTTGACAAACGATTCGAAATATTCCTTACGTCCGACACAGCAAAAGCAACTGCTGTCCAATATACAATGAAGAATACTTCTTCATCTTTCATTTTCATACTGGCTTTGTTTGGGGCCGTCGTATCATCTTCATTCGGATTTGTTCAGCAGACCAATCATGTTAAATCAGCTTCGATCATTACCTCCAAAAGCAAAAGAGCGGTGCAAAGAAATGTGGCAACAAACGATAATATATCGAAGAACACGGAGGGCGGAAAATTTACTTTGACACCTCCTAGTAAATATCCTACAAATAGAGGTCAAACTGTTGATTCCAGAAAAATCATTGCAACTGGAGCCGGGCGTCTTCACTTGACAGCGGTTCGGATAGCGCATATTTTATTCGCTTCACTTGATCTTGCTGAATCTTCTCTTCACGAAGTTCGTATGGCAACTATATCCTTTGAAGATTTGGCGAAACAAATTAGTAATTGCGCGGAATCGAGAGATAAAGGCGGTGAAATTGGTTGGGTTACTATTGACGACCAAGATGGCTCCAAAAACGAACATCTCGATGGTATCTTACCTGCTCAGGCTCGCGAACAAGCGATTCACATTACGACAAAGCCGGGAGACATTGTCATGGTCGAATCTTCACGTGGGTTCCATTTGGTTCAAATCTGTGACGTAATGGCCGATGTTCGAAAAATGAGCAGCTTGAAAGAACGAAAAACTAGCAAAAACGGTATTGGGAAGAGTGGAGCACGAGTTGCTTCTGCAGGAGTTAATCCGGGATCTGACGAAGAAAAGAAAGATCTTACGTATAAATTAGAGACCATGGGCTGCCAAATGAATCTAGCTGACTCGGAGAGAATTGAGGGTCAATTGCAAAACATGGGCATCCGCCCATTGGACGAGGTCGAAGACAAAGAAGTCAAACCTGATGTAGTAATTTTAAACACATGTTCTATTCGCGAACACGCCGAGTCCAAAGTATACTCATACCTTGGTCCATATGCTAAGCGAAAACGTGATGGAGAGGATGTTGCGATCGTCGTCGCTGGATGTGTTGCTCAACAAGAAAGTGAAGCTCTGCTCCGCCGTGTGCCAGAAGTTGATTTAGTTATGGGACCTCAATATGCGAATAGATTGGCCGACTTTTTTGAGGACATTGCGAATGGTAACCAGGTAGTTGCAACAGAAGCGACTCATATCATGGAAGACTCGTCTAAACCAAGGCGCCACTCGAAAACATGTGCTTGGGTTAACGTAATTTATGGCTGCAACGAACGATGTGCTTTCTGCATCGTGCCAACAACTCGTGGTGTAGAACAATCTCGACCTTTGGAGAGCATCATTCAGGAGATAGAAGGGTTGGTGGAGGAAGGGTACAAAGAAGTGACACTCCTAGGTCAAAATATTGATGCCTACGGACGAGACATGGTCCCTAAGAGACGATTCTCGGATCTTTTGAAAACTGCAGGAAGTGTCCCAGGGCTGAAGCGTTTGCGATTTGTCACCAGTCATCCTCGATACATGTCTCTTTCTGTTGTTGATGAGATTTTGAATACTCCAACGGTTTGTGAAAGTATCCACATTCCCTTCCAAAGTGGATCGAACGCCATCCTCTCTAGCATGGGTCGCGGGCATACCCGGGAAAAGTACCTGCATATCGTTGATAGGATTCGATCCGTAAGTATCTCGAATAGGTTTTAAAAACCTACAAGATGTGTTGCTGTTTTGAAACACCGGATGCGTTCGGTGTTTGACCTACGTCGACCAGAGTCTTCCCTATATTTTTTCTCTCACCGTTCCTCTTCTTCTTCTCGTAAACAAAACAACCTTCTTTTAGAGATTGCCTGATGCATCGATATCCGCCGACGTCATTGTTGGGTTCCCGGGAGAAACAGAAGAGGATTTCCAAGACACGCTAACTTTGATGAAAGAGGTCGTGTTTGACACGGTCAATACGGCTGCTTACTCGCCTCGTCCAAATACGCCCGCAGCAACCTGGGAGAACCAGATTCCGGAGGAAGTCAAGAAGGAAAGGCTCAATCGTATCAATGTATTGGTTAAGGAACATGCAAAAGAGAGAAGAGCCCGCATGATGGGAAGAACCGTGGAAGTGTTGGTAGAAGAAAGAAATGTCAAGGTTCCCACGCAGGTCATGGGTCGTACACGAACCAATTACATCGTTTACTTTGAGGGGGATATCGACGAACTTCAAGGAGAATTGGTCAACGTAAAGATCGACACATGCGAAACCTTTTATTTGTCCGGCACTCGAGTGGAGTAACTTGTAGTTCACCTATTACTAGCGCGAAAACTTTCGTAATTATTCAGGGTCTTGGATACTGTAGAATAGCTTGTGTTTCTCAAACATACTATATACTTCGTATTGTTCTTATTTCTCATATATAAGAAAGAATCCGCCATAGTTCCCTTAGCATAGAATCAAAACACTCTTTGATAAACAAGGCTTTTGTCACACATTGGTAGTTATGGAAAATGCTATAAAGTTGTTTGTTTATCGTTCCCTCTATCTGTATTTCTGTTCTTGTTTTGGTCCCATCTTCCGCCTACTGACGACAGCTGGCAAAGAGCTGCTGCGGCTAGAACAGAACTATCATTCGTTGAATTTGTTCKGAACGCGGTAGTGTCGTTGTTTAACAGTTCGGAAGAAGGCTCTTCTGTCGTTTGATCAGGGATCCCCGGTGTTCCCGCCTGGCTCTGCTGACGTTTCTTTTTCGGTATGGACTTGGTAGCTTTGGCTTTGGGTGTATGGACCTTGATGCCGGCCATCCGCATAGCGTCTCGTTGCCGTGCCGCCTGCACCACGAGGTTGTCGATTTCGCCGTAGTTCTCTTCGAGCCGACGAAATATGTTCTCCCCCGCCTCTTGGCGCTTCAATACCTTTTGTGCGTGGCTCTTGATCTGTACGAGCGAGCGCTGTGGAAGGTAAACAGACATTTTTTTCCAGCGCCCCTTTCCAAACATTCGGAGACCGTATAGAAACAGAATCTTCTCATCGGGGGTCCACCGCCCCGTTCGCAGGACGGGTCTTAGTTCTGCGCTCACGGCAACATCCGGTCTTGCAGTTATTTCCCTTGGCTTATCCTCATCGTTTGCTGTCATATCTGCATTTCCGACAAGACCCGCACTGGCACTAATGTGTCCACTGATACTACTACTGCTGCTAAAAAAACTACTACTAGACGATGTTAAAGGAAGGGTACCAGACGAATCAGAACTCCATTGAATCGCATCGGATGACATCTCCTTCCTTACTGATTGGCAGTCCATCTCTTCCTGTTTTTGTCTTCCATCAAGCATATTGCTGATAAAGGCTAATTGTAATGATGCCTGCATTTGGAACGGTGTGTGAGAGGATGTCCCTCTGATGGTACAGTTCAGTACGCGTTTGGTCTCAAATAAGGAAGGGTATCCTTTGTTGCGTTAAGAAATGGCTGTAACAGTAACATAATGTACTGAGTTAGAAGTAATTGTGATGTGTTCGTGCAAGTTCGTGCTCACCCGTAGGAAACGGAAGTGATTTTCTGTGGCTTCGGCAAAGGTATCTTTGCGAGAGACCCCTAAACCAACAAAATGCACACGCACGAGAGAAACTGATTCGGACAGCGATTTGTTTTCACTAGGAGGTTGACCATAGAAATCGTTTACGGCTGTGGAAACAGCTGTCTGAGTCATCACCCTGACCAGATGACTCACGATAGCCTTCTTGACGAGGTGGGTGAGAGACAAAATTAAAAAAATATCGACTTTATTAAATTCTTAAAGCACCCTAATCCTCAACGGTTGACTGACAGACTGTAAAATGAATTATTTTGATCAAACAAAAACTCGGCGTTACTCATGGTGTTTTTGACAGACGATCAACTTTCGTTCTTGCTGTATGAACTGTAGTGCAGTGTACAGTACAGTACTCGTACGTCTTAACGTGCTGTCATTATCGTAAAGTGGTTCTCCGTTGTCGGTAGTTAGTTACGTACAGTACGTCGTACTGTACTGTAAGTAGAACATGATCGCTCCTACGAAGGTACGGTACCATACGCACTGTACGGGGTGTGTAGCTGAGAACGACACTTTTGGTATCATTGTTGAAATGAACCAGGGTGCGAGCAAGGGTCAGGACCAGAAACCACAGAGGAGAGTAGCATAGCGACCAAGGCAGAAATTGATCAAGTTCACAAGAGAAAGAGAAGAGGAAAAGACAGAGACATACAGACACACACAGAGAAAGAGAGAGAAAGAGAAGAAAAGAAAAGAGAAGTAAGTGTAAGTGCAACAAAGAATGAACGAATCCACCACGGTGGAAAGCACTGAATGATGAACATTGCAGATTTGTACTGGAAGAAAGGCCATCTTTCGATCTCTGAATATTCAAGGAGTGCGAAGCATCGCCGGTGAGGCTCGTTGGTGACGGGATCAGTTCCGTTGATCGGTCCGTAAAAACTATCAACTCGTTGCCTCTAACGTTACTGTTTTGTGTTTTGCACGGTGCGAATTCTTGCTCTGCCCTTTTTCCATCGGTGACATCGTCGACGGAACGCGATGCGACGCGACACGCCGCAGACAACAAACTTGTATCATGGACAATCCCGATAGCAGCACCTCGATGGGCAACCCACAGCAATCTGCAAACGAGAAGCAAGAAGAGGCGATTCCACCAAAAACTAGCAAAGAAACGGCTGACGAGTCCGGGGAACAAACGAGCCCAGAAGAAGGCAGCGCCGCCGGTGCCCCAAACGCAGCAAAATCAACAGACGATGCCGACGATGTCAAAACAAACGTCGATGAAAACGCGGGATCGAAATCGGAAGGTCCCGGAGAAGGGACCGAAAATTCGCCAGAGGAGACCATCAGTGGACCTGTCCCAGAAGAAAAAGATGGCGCCCCCGAGTCGTCCGAAGATCCCGATGTTCCCGCGTCGAAGGATGGGGAAGCGGCTGCGTCGTCGACCGAATCTGGCACGCCGAACAAGCAAACTGTGACGCACGCCAAATCGGGTTCAGACCCACCGGCTGCCGAGACGGCGCCCGAAACGGAGGCAAAAAATGAGAAAACAGAGACGGAACTATCCCAACCTACCGTAAAGGAAGAAGGTAAAGAAGGCGGAGAAGAATCCGCAGCTATGGAGGTAGAAGAATCGACCGAGGCCAAAGAACCAGAAGCACAGCCGGCACCAGAGTCTCCCAAACTAAAAGCCGAAAACTCTGCAAAATCGAACGACAACAATAGCAGCAACACCAACTACAACAGCAATACGACCACTTACAGCACACGCGGACGCAGTACGGAAGCGGCAGAAGAAAAACAAGATCGGATTCACGAACGAGACTCATTTGAGGAATCGCCTCGCCCAAAGGATCCGTCGGCGGCGTTTTCCTTCTTGGTCGAGGGGACCGAGGAAGAACGCAGGACCAGGACTCGTTTCATTCCGGAAGTCGATGGGATGCACATGCTACGGAAGCACGAAGTGAAGAGCGATTTAGCACTGGCACGATCCCTACCTTCGATTGTTTCGCCCTCGGGAGTCTTTCAGTCTAGGACCGGGCGGCTTGCTGCAAGCGCTGGACGCAGCAACGATTCCATGGACGTAGACGGCGAGGAAATGAATCTTGCGGTCAACGATGAGAACACAACAACCATTGAGCTTCCTTCTAGCAACCTGACCATTCCGTCGGATGTTTTTGTTGCTCCAAAGGGGGTAGTTGTAGGAGAATCAGGCTCTTCGATTGCGGTGAAGGAGTTCGAACCAAGGGTTCCTTCACCCTCGGTGGTAGAATCTGTCACAAAGTTCAATCCACCGCGCCCTCCCGAGTCTGTTGGGGGGAAGAAAAAACATCGCATGATTCGATGGGAGCGCAGGCCCGAGGACATCGAGGTCGACATGAAAAATTATCGAAAAACAGTGCAACGAACACGCCAGGAACTACAGAAATCAGAAGGCGAATACGAGCGTCTCGAAATGGTCGACGCTCATCTTCGTCGTCACTTCTTGAACCAGTCGGATTTGCTCGACGAAGAGTACGAAAAGCTGAACGATGAGATGGATCGTGAAGTAGAAAAGTTGATAAAGGAATCAGAGCTCATTGGATCTAGGACGAGAAGCCGAAACCTCACCAAAGTCGATGTTGTTATGAGAGACGTTCTGACTATGCTCACTAGAAACGAACAGAAAGATGTTCCCATGGGTGAAGCTGCTAGCGTAGATTCGTTTTCAAGCGGCCGATTCGCTGGTTTCGGGGGTCTAAATGCCGCAGCATTTAACGATTGGGATCGTTCTACCAAACTAAAATCCATGAAACTGTCGAGTTCTTGGCTCGAACCAGGCCAAAAAGTTAAAACTCTTTATGGTGAAGGTACAGTGATTGAAGTGATTCCCCCAGTATGCCCTCCCTCAAATGACAAGGCGGTGATTCCCATTCATGGTTCGAAGAAGAGTGTGTTGAGCGAAGAAAAGCTGAATCGCATCAAAGCAAAGAAGAAGTATGACTCTGTGTTGCCACTGAGAGTGAAAATTCAACTCGATTATGGTATTGGAGTCTTCTCTGCTAGTTCAATACTGGACATCGAAAGTCCTGGCCATTTCACGGATGCTAAGCTCGCAAAGCGCTGGAAAGGAATGATTGACTCTGCCCTCAAGGTAGGACATTGTATCGATGTAGAAGGAATGTTGCTAAACGAAGACACCAAAAGCGATGCTCCTGATGGGGTTTCGAGCGATGAGTTTTTGCCGGTCGGCGCAACGTTGATTCCAACCAAAGGTGGAAGAGGCAACTTTTTACAAAACATGGATATTCTAGATATAGAAGAGCCTTTGAAGACAGCCCTTTATGACGGGCATGGTGTCATGGGAAGGGTAAGTTGCAGAGAAAAATGTGTCTGTTGAACAACGAAATAAATTTCAGCTTTATCTCCTAATAAAAATGCTTTTCAATTCGTCTGCAGAAATCAAATCCTGGCGTCACCAAAGACATAAGAAAATGGGAGGAAGAGGAACAAGAATATTTGAATTTACGAGCAAGCATTCTTCAGTTGAAAAATACGCTTACGCGACAGCGTCGGATTCGAATTTTGAATGAAAAGACCGCCAACTCCATGAACGACCGTTATGTGCGTGCAGAGGAGTTAGTATCTGAAATGAGGTCGGATCTAAAGAGTTTGAAACGCAGGCTTAGAGATGAACTTAGCGAGCTTGGAATCACTGATACGATCGCGAAGCAAATCATGTTCCAGTTTTATCAAGGGCACCACGAAGAAGACCATGGTGACGCATCGACCCCAAAGCGTCTTCGTCGAGCGAGTAGCATGATTGGAGAAATGTTACCGGACATTGATATGGGCAATAACAGCGGCGAGGGTGATACCCGCGATTCAATGGATGAACAGGGTACGGATGATCTATCTGGCGATGATCTTGAGACCCACAGGCCAACCAAGAAAATTCGATCAGGGGAATAAGATTTGCCGATTCAAATAACGGGAAATGGGCACCATGAATCACTTTTTTGGAATTTCAGCCATGCCTTTGATATGACAGTTGAAGATGTTTCTTTCTTTCTGAACTCTTCAAGTCGTTTTGCAGATTGGAATGGGACGTAAGAAGATGTAATGATAGTTAGGATTAGGATATAAATGATATATGAATATTGTATGTCTTTCAAAGTCCGTCGAAGTCCATATCAATCATTGATCCAAGAATTGAAATGCAGCAGTTAGCGCATGACTTTGATTCGAAATAGTGGTCAGCTGATACCAGTAGCACAGAATTCTAATTCGACGCAAACGTACAACATATGGAATACCAAACGAAAGAACTTTGAAATTATGTGAACTAGATGAGACACTAGGTAGCCGGGACCATCACTTCTCGGGAGAAGGTGCTTCTAAGTTTCTGACACTTGGTCCAGTTCGTATACCATCGCATCTTGAGTGACGCTCTTAAGTGGTTGTTTAGTACACAAAGGAGTAAAGTAGCTATTTGTAGTGGAGATAGTAAAAGTCGTGTCAGAAATGCAATTGTAGATGAGCTTTTTGTAGACACTGATATTAGAACAAGGTGTTGGTGTTGGATGCTGAAGATAGAATAGTACCAGGTGATGGTGGTAAAGATAGTGCTGGTTGCAATCTATGAGAAGTTTTCACCATTTCTAGGGCACTTTGACAGAAAACTCCCTTTCTGTCATGTTATTTCTTAGGAGGATAATGCTATTACTAGTAGGTTGTTTAGAAGATCAGTTCCTCTTAGGATGGATTGAGATATAGATGCGGTTTTCATCTTGCCAGGTCTCCTACCATTAATTATGAACCACGTCATAGGATTCTTGAGGCTGAATGTCACCAGTTGGTTTATTTGCTTTAGATGATTGTACGAGTAATATGTGCACTGAAAAGCTGTGATGATAATTTCAGAATGTATATAACTTTATTCATGCATCTGCAGATCCACATCAGTAGTACTAGTACTAGGGTCATTCTTGGGAAAGAACAAAATACACAATTGCTGAAAGGACATACTGTCATGATACTATGCCAAGATACCATTGATTTCAAATGGATCAGTTGTTGCTACTTCATCAAGAAGGTCAGCCATTTTACATAATGTTGTGCAAGTATTTGACAGGTTTAAGTTACTAAGAAGAAGCAATGCTTTGTAGCTGGATTCACTGAAGTACTAGTACTAGGTGTACTAGTATGTATCAATTTTTAGAAAAGTAGTCATTATACACCAGTAAAAAGAGGGACCAACAAAATCCAAGGTTTTTGAAGCTTATATTTGATTGTCAACTCTATGATACTGCTACAACTAGTAGTAATAGTAACATAGCACTAATAGCATTGTAAAAAAAAAAAACTTAATATTATATTTAACCTTGTGAACTAGAAGAGGCACTAGGAAGGCCAGAACCATAGCTTCACCTGACTAAGGGGGAGAATGCTTCTAGCTGCACCGAGGGGCGGCGCCTCCCTCCGAGGAGTGTTTATGGAGGAGCGACCAAGTTTTATRCDCACTGATAGGCCAATCAAGGCCCAGAACTGGACTCAGAGGACATAAAACAATAGGTTCACACTGCCAAGCCAGTAGGATGGGACAACCACTCCCCAACCTGTAGGCAAGTTATCACAYGCAGTGATCAAKGAGATGTTGGTTMACAGTTTGGATGRATGAGAACCATGCCATTACCATTTCGAAGGAGCACTGCCAAGCCCGTAGGTTGGGGGGGCTCAATTCCCAACCTGTAGGCAAGTCCCTACACACAGTGRTCAATGAAATGGGTGCCACACACACCGACAAGCCAATTAAGGCAAGTTCCGCTCAGTGTGTGAGAGCACATGTAGTCAAAAAGAAAAATCAAAAGAAAAACCAAAAAGAAAAAGAAAAAAGGAAGCATCACACTTCTTTCACCGGGTCTTGGTTGAAGTGGGAGAATACTGGTGTTGGTGCTGTTGCTTTCTGACACAGTGGTCGGAAACAACAGCAATCATGACCGGAAAGCACTAGGGCTTCCGGTCCTTGAGAACTGGGGATGGATCCAGCTGAGGCAAAGCACTCAGCTGGAGTAACTGGGTTTGAAGTTATTGCAACATTGGTGACGGGAGAGCACTGAGCTTCCGGTCCTTGAGAACTGAACTGGATCCAGCTGAGACAACACTCAGCTGAAGATAAAATTGGGTGGTGTTATTGCATTCCGGCACGAGTGCTGGAAACAACAACAATCGTGACCGGAATCTTCTTCTGGTCCGTAAATTACTGGAACTGCATGGAGATGATGCTGGGGAATCTTCTTTAAAACTGAGTATGATATAGCATATA